GTTGCCTAAGAGGTCTGTCTTTTACCTAATGTTATCTTTCCTCCTGGATACTCGCATTTATCTCTGTACATTTTGCATTATATCATGTCTCTGTGCGTTTTTATAACTTATGTGAAGCTTCTTGCACTGCCTCGCCATTAAAAGGTGCCGTACAAATACGCTCGCCTCGTCTAAAAGATGAATAACGTTGTGGATTTCACAAACATTCATCATCAACAGCAATGATAAGCTGTGACTTGTTTGACACCAGTTTTCTCTAAACACAAATAATCCATCCTTGTAGATTGATCTTTATAAACTCGTGGGTCTTGCGCACATTACTGGTTCTGAAACGGATCCCAGTGCGGTTTTGATCTGATTCTGTGTTTCGCCACGACGAGCAGCAAAACCTCCCAAACTTTCCCAGCATGTGTGTTATGTGAGCGAGAGAGCAGGCAGCAGGGAGCCGAGCACCGTGGATCCAAAATACAGCATGTGTGTGTGGTTTGTGTAACTGGGGAAAGTCTACTTTACTGACTGCCTTCATGAGAATTGAATGCACCATCGAGGGAGCAGCGAGTTGTTCCAGATATTTGGGGAACAGCTGATGAGAAATATTTGCAAAGATAAGTTACTTTAAACTTTCTTTCTACCTTGAAACTTCTTCAACCACAAACATAGTAAAGACAGACCCATTATTTGTCCATTCTGTCCTAGGAGGGGGTTCAGAAGTTAATCTGATTACTTTTCAGGCCACCCGTTGGATTAAAGGTAAACTGTTCACTCGGACTCCCCTCGGTGTTTGTTTGGAAGTGAAGCAGAGCTCTGGTCGTGTTGGGTTTTGGTTTGGTTGGAGGTGACGGCAGCAGGGAGGCCGACATCTTCACCGAGTTGTGGAAATATGAGGCTTCTGTCGGAGCGTGTGACCTCCGCAGGGCTTTAAGAAAAACCTGGAGTTTTACAGCTTTGGGGTAGCGAGCAGCCAGCAGCTCCAGCCGATCTAGCACGAGTGAAAGTGGCAGCGATCGCTTGCTTGAGTGTCTCTTTACAACAAATCGCGGCTGCGACCGACATCGCTCAATTACGAGGCTTATCGTAAGTACGATGAGCTTAACCTCAACCTCCAGCCCCGTCGCTCGAATTTTCCCTCTAATTAGCCGAGCGAAGGCTGCCTCTGCGCCGCTGCGAGGCTGAGGTCAGTCGATGGAGGCTGGGAACCGCTCAAAGAAACTAATTAGCCAACTTTCCAAAACACACTCAGACACTGCGATGAGGGCCCTCCTCCTCCCCTCGTGTGTTTCCGAGGATGTGCGGGAATCAGCCGATAAACAAATCAGTTTCCTGTTAAATTCTGCAGCTGGAGGTTCAAATTTTCAAACAGCTGCAAGATTCAAATGCAGTTTTTTGTCACTTAAAGTAGTTGCGGTAAACCCTGTCGCAGGAGGTGTTGAAAAGCTTATCCAGCTAATTCAGTTCCACTTGTTTTAAAGGTATCAGTTCACACTTGTTTTTACTGCTCACCTGGGGGCGCTTACAGTCGGCCACCAAGTCCAGACTGAAGTAATTAACTTGATCCAAACCAGGCAGCCGGCCTATAAGGAACATGTAGTCTTTGTTAACACTAATTAACAAAGTTTAAAAAATCTGATTTGCTACTGCGATTGTGTGTATCTCACAGAACATATAAAGAAGTTTTCTCTCTTTAGCTGTTGAAATGTTTAGGAAATGAAGAATTAACTTGTCGTCTTGTTGTCTTTATTTGGCACCGTGATCAACCTGAAAAGGATTGTAAGTGTATCCTTTAGAAAAAATGTCACTGAGAAAACCTCCTTCCATCCCTTTCTCATTTTGGGACCCTTATTGTGCAACGTGCTCAGGAATGTTTATTTGCTGGGAAAAAATGTGAGAAAGCTCTGCGCCTCATATGTGGTTCTCTGCGATTTTGGAAGTGATAAACTAGACTTTAGAGAGTACCGGGAATGATTCCTCCAATAGCGACGTGATGTATGATGCAAGGCTTCAGCTGCTGCTTCAGCACAACACGCAGGCTTTTTTTTTTTTTTTACAGAGGTGCTGTTTTAGTGAGCAGGTGCAGTTTAGTAGATTTCCTGTTAATAATTTGATTATTTGCTTAGCAGAGATAATGCTGGATCCTGCGTGAATGGAAACGCTGTTTTACGACGGACACCTGAAGAGCTCACGCCAGACAAATTGCATATCGGCTTACGCACCTTTCGTTATTTTTAATTAAATGGGCTTTAATTTGAGCATTACAGCAGTAAAGAAACACTTGAATTGGAACCAATAACGATGTTGGGTTATTTTTTCAAAGCTGAGGGGGATGTGACACATCCTTACCCAGTCTCTGTGTGTTCACATAAAGTGGTTCTCACTCGTCCCCCATTATCCTCTGAAGCACAATACCTTGAAACACAATGTGGCCTTCAGTCCCACACCTCCACATCCATCCAGCCTGTTTGCTCTCTCCCCTCCGGTGCAGCGGCATTATTCTCACCGGGGCTGTGTTTAGGGAAGGTGCGAAACAATCTTTGTAGTGTAACAGAGACGCGTCTGCGAGGTCTGAGGCCGAGCACTGATCCTCCGGCAGCTTTTTTACGCCTCTCCACAGTTGATCCCTGTTACCTGCAGGCGTGCTCACAGATAGCTTTCACCAACCGTGGCCCGGAGCCGGAGTCTCTGCGAAAGGCTGAACCTGCCCCGTGGCGTTCACGGGTCGGATTGACAGTCGGCTCGAGGTTTTTTCAACGCAGATCGTTCAAACAGGGAGTGACATAATCCGTTTTCTTATGATTTCTGCGGCTGAAATAAGTGGCAATTTGGTGGCTGAATATTTATAAATGAAGGGGAAGTTTTAAGGCACTTTTATCCCTCGGCCTCTTTCATCCATCAACCCCGACACACGGTATCGGGTTGTGGCTATCAAGCGGGCTGGAGGGGTTTTCCAGTGGAGCCAGGAAGCGAGGCTGGGCTGTCTGAGAGGCGAAACAATGTGAGTCATGAGCAGGTGTAAATCTAGCTTAAGACAACAATAAAACATTAGATCTGTGTCACAAATAGAGTCCAGTCAGGTGGAAACAGGAGTAAAGATGCAAAAAGTCACAGAACTCATGGCGGTAAGAAAAAAAAAAGGCTTGTTTTTCTAGAAATCTGAGTGAATACATAGTAAAGTTTACGACCAATGCTCGTAAGCAGGGAGGGATGACTAATTAAACCCCTGCTATCCTCCAGGAAAGACAGAAAGTCGGAAAGCGAAGTCACTACTGATAAGAGCTGCTGTGTGTGTGTGTGTATTTTAGATATTGTAATTAGGCCCTTGGAGTGGAAGGAAGGAAGGAAAGAAGGAGTCTCAGGGGTCCCAAAAGAAAAGAAAAAACACACACAAACGCTATCACTGCACACACACAAACCCTTCCTCCATTATGATGGGCAAATGATAAAAAAGAGTGAAGAAGGTGGTGCTGAAAAACTGATGAACCAACCACAGGACACCAGTTGGACCCATATAACCCCTATTTCCACACACACACACACATACAGTAAGCACACATAGTAGAGCCACAAAACTGTATCAGAAGCGTTGCGGTTAATAATGCATGAGCGTGTCTGCGCTGGTGGAGGAGGACCGGTGTCTCGGACGGCCGGCCTTTAATGAAGTTGGGCATGTCTGCCTCACTCGGCTGCCAGAGAGTCATGAATAAACATCAGCCGGCTAATTAAACTCGGGGCTGGCAACTGTACTCATCAGTAAACAAGCGGCAGAAGAAGAGGGGGTCTCTCGCACATGCTCGCAGGGATTTGCAGTGGAGTGGAGGAGCGGCGGCGGCGGCGGCGGCAGGCCTTCGCTTTCTCTTTTAGTACAATGTGGACTCAGGAGAGGAACTTGAGGAAAAAGAAAGAAAGTGAGGAGTAGAGAAGTGTTGGAGTGGAAGAGAGAGACGAGCGCAACTCTGGAGAGCATCTGATCTGATTATTAGACAAGTTCAGAATCAGAAGCAGATTTACTGCCAGGTGTAGTTTGCACAATACGAGGAGTTTGCTCTGGTGGGTTGGTGCAACGATAAATACACACAGTGAGGAACAATGTACAAGATAAAGATATAAAAACAGCTAAAAAATAAAAGCAAAAGATATTGTGCAGTGGAGAATTAAGTTTAAATAAGAACCACAGGACTGTAGTTATTTATAAGAGTGCACGGTGTGGAGGTGGAACAATAACAGTGAGGATAATGAGATGGTGAGCAAAGAGAAAACACGTTAATATAACATATGCTGTCCATAGAGGGGGCAGGGGGGCGTCGGTGGGGGTCCTGTGCCTTGTTCTTGAGGCCAGTGGCAGTCGGGGAAAAAAAACTGTTCTTGTTGCGGGAGGTTCTGGTCCTGATGGATGAAAGAGTTTGTGTCCAGGGTGGGAGGGGTCAGCCACAGTCTTACCAGCACGCCTCAGAGTCCTGGAGAAGTTCAAACCATCAGTATCTAAATCAATGCAAATGACAGTTTTGTATGTGTGAAATACTCAAAATACGCAATTCAGTTCAGCCATTATAAAGCATGCACAGGATACAGTAAATAAAACAAGAGGTAACCACAGAGAAAGTTCTGCTTCTTTTTACTCAACTCTGAGTGTAATCAAACTTATAAGAAGTCATGTTGTAATTAATAATTAGGATTTTTACCACTGCAGAAGCCGTTAGTTTTGCGTAATACATCTTCACATACATGCAGGTGAATATTAACATGACATTAAGCCATTAGTCTTGTCAGTTAGGCTCAATAACGAAGAGCTGAATTAACTTAAAGAGAAAAAAATCACTAAAACATGCCTGTAATCTTCACTTCAGCTGGTCTGAAGGGGCCACAGCTGGATTCAGACAATATAAGAACCATGTGCTTTTTTTTACACTTTGCTTAAAATCTCAACCTGACCTCACTGAGGGATGCTGATTATAATCTGATGATCAATCTGCTGGTGCTGATGTAACCCCTCTGCGTTTCCTCCACAGCCTGCAACTGCAACCTCCACGCCCGGAGGTGCCGATTCAACATGGAGCTCTACAAGCTCTCGGGGAGGAAGAGCGGAGGAGTCTGCCTCAACTGTCGCCACAACACAGCGGGTCGCCACTGCCACTACTGCAAGGAGGGCTACTACAGAGACCTGTCCAAGCCCATCTCACACAGGAAGGCCTGCAAAGGTACAGAGTTCTGCTGGTCTGTCTTTCTGTTGGCCGACAGTTCTGCCCATTTCCATGAGCAGTTTGTCAACTTTGACAGAATCGGAAAGTTTTAAGATGTATACATACATATTGTAGGTTTTGAACTACATTTTGAATTGTTGTTTAAAAACTATCTCATGTGAGTTTTAAGTGAATGCGGGAATAACGTTTAACCCTCTGAATCCCGAGCAGTTTGGGCTTTTTTGTCATATTTTTACCCAATGTGGCGTCAGTATTTTAACTGCAATATAAAGTCCTGCTCCTCTATGGAAACAGTACAACCGTAACTAGTACACACAGTAATAATCCCTAAAAATTTTTTCAAAAAACGGGGGAAAAAAGTTAAATTTGTTCGATGATTTATTTTACAAAAATTGAAAAATATACGTACAACATTTTTCCCACAGGTTTTTACCAATACTGGAATAAAAAATTTGGGCTTTTCAGATATTTTTTAAATATTTTTTCAGACATTTTTAATTAGTTTCCATATTTGTCTCCTATCTGCTGTGTGTAAACACTGCCTGTAGTTCAGCCCAGTCCAGTGGAAAGTCTCTGAATTTTAATTATGTGATCGTTGGCTGCAGTTGAGTCACTCATAGCTTTTTGGTTTTGTTAAAAAGCACAAAATTATTTGATTTTTACAGAATCTGGTCAAAGCGAATGGTTTGTTTTTGGCAAAGTTTTGAATAAGACATGTAAAGTGATTTCAATGAAATATGATTTTATGAGTTTTCTCACAGATGAATAGTTCAAAAAGCATGGGAATATTGAGAATCTGATGATCTTTTTCCATCTCTAAAGTTTCTTGCTGTTGAATGTTGGACTTTTTGTGGATTTTTACAAGAATAACTTGGCTTTCAAACCTGCTGGCAGCTTTTGGGCTTCAGAGGGTTAATGCACAGCAACAGTAACCCAATAACAGCTGCTGCTTGGATTATTCAGGTCTGATACAAAAAGAAAAACGGTTTTAGATGAATTGCAGGAAGTTGTGGGGGAAAGCCGGCGATCTTCACATTCCTGAGCCTGTCTCACCCTCGTCTCCCTCTGTCAGCGGAGATGAGTTGGGGGTCTTCTGGGTTTGCGGAGGTCGTGGCGGTGGTATGGGTGGGTCAGGCTGGGTGTTCCCTCATCGACACTGAGTTATTTGGCTTAGTTCGAGGTGGGGTGAGGGGATGACAGGACAAGCAAAACAAACAGAGCGGAGGTGTGAAGTGATCCCCAGTGCGGGGCCCGGAGACGAACGAGAAGCCGGGGACGATCGCTGGAAGGAGCCGCGAAGACGGAGAGAAAAGAGGAAAAAAGTCGGGATCGGACGGGTGGCAAGAGAGTGAAATATGGGAGGGAGGGAGGGAGGATGGGGAAGGAAGAGGAACACACCCCTACGCAGGTGTGCTCACTACTCACCGCTGGATGAATCGCCTGCCATCAGCCCTCAGCGGAGATAATAAGGGTCAAAGAAAGAGAGGAGGAGGAAGAGGTGAGGGCGACTGAAAAGCAAGAGAGAGAGTATGTTTTCTCGCCTCGGCTATAGCTGCAGGGAAAGATAACAGGAGCTGGATCCCTGTGCAAACAAGCCCAGAGACACCTCAGAGGTGCTCGGCGTAGACGGAGCTCAGATGCGTGCATACCTGTTGGAGGGGTTTTCAGAGCCTCCGAAGGCAGCGCGTGAGGAAATGTTGACAGTTTAAGCCGGAGTTTTCTTATATCAGTCACCGTGAAGTAAACGAATAAACCCAATCGCCAGCCGGTGAAGAGAAAAAACATCTGTAGAACATCTCCTTTGAGGAGAGATGGCACTGCTCACTTCCTAATTCTCACATTTCCACTCGTTGCATTAGCTCTCATTAAATTCCTCACATCCAGCAACCATAACCAGCAGATTTTTTTTCCCCATCTCTGCATGAAATTAATAACAAAGCTCTTAACAAATGTTCACCACCCCTCCCTCCATCTCCTCCATCTCCTCCTCCTCCTCCTCCAGTCACTCATGACCAATATTCCTGCAGCGACTTTTAACACCTTCCGTGGCTTTGGGCCCATTCTCCTGTCGGCCAGGAATGCAAACACATATTCATCAAGACGGGACGTTGTGTATCATTAACCCCTATCCTCTGCTGTGTCTAACAGGCCGGCTTATTGTGTTGTTTTTACATTCCTTCTCATGTGTCCGAGGCTCGATTCTTTCAGCATCTCATAACTCACGTTCATGGGGGTTTGGTCGCCATTAAGGAAAAAGTTACGGCCCCGCTTTCCTCATGAAATGTTCGATCCGTCAACCTGCACGTGATATACAAGAGAAGCAATGCGATCAAACATACGCAAAATAGTGCGTTTTATTCTCAAGCCTGGAAAAATAGAATAAATCATATTTGTTGCCTTAGAAATTTTACATGATCACAGCATTTTTCAGATAATTACAGACTGTTTTTATTCCTTTTTTTTATAGGCAGCATAGCCGCTAAACTGAGAGACCTTGAAAACAAGCAACCAAACACGAACAAATACGTTAATGGCTTTTTTTTGTTGAAGCTCATATTTCGGAGCAAACAAACCAAATGAAAGCGACGAAATATGAGCGAAAAACCTCAGTTCATGTTATCAAGAATGTCGTGTTTTGGGTTTTTTTTTTTTCCCACCGCAAATAGAAAACAGTCTGTCTGAGAAAGAAAAATACATTTTCCATCGATGTGGAAATCTGCTCTCATACAGCTATGATGACTAATTTGATGTTAGAGGAGGAGGGGGGGATGGATAAATGAGTCATGAAGCGAAGTCAAAACAACGAGTCGAAAGCTGTGAGAAATGCACCTGGTGTGGACCTCCGACATCTGGAGGGAAGCGACGTCTCGTGGATACGTGGAGCTATTCTGATAACCGGTGCTACTGATCTGGAACCTGACAGCCTCCTTCGTCTTCATCTGTCTGCTTTTGCATGAATTCTGTCTCTGCTGGTTTTCTTTTCTGGTGCTCTGGCTCTCTCTGAAGGAGTAAAACTTTGTTTCAGGCAGATATAAACAATGAAATAAAAGAAATAACCGTCTCTAAGTAGGTGATGAATTAATCCGTCAACGCAAATGTAGATAAATTACACTTATGAGCTATTTTAGAGTAAAAATGATTCAAAAACCAACATTCTCTGTTCTCAAAGGAAGATAAATGTGAGGATTTCTGCCTTTTTTTTGTTAGTTTATTGTAAATTGAATGTTTTAAAGAAATCTGACGTCTCTTTGTTGGTTTCTATGAGGAACACAGACATTTTATAGACCAGATTATAAATGATGGGTTCAAAAAAAAGCCCCTTAAAGATGAATCAATCATGAAAACGTTATTAGTCTAGTTATTATCCGTCATTATTGTCAACCGCCGCCGCCACACTTATTTGACACAATAGTGTGTTCATATAGCACCGAGTGGAATCTCAGAGCAATTAAATGATACGATCTGCGATAATGTTATTGTTACAAGATAATGATAGTCCCATAGGCTCGTGGCAGGAGTGTAATCATGTCATACACTCATTACATCAGTGTTCCCCAACTACCAAACACTAAATCATCTCACCGGGGGGATTTATTCCTCCTCGACTCCTTCGCGTTTTCGCCGTTGCCTCTCGCCGAACTAAACAGATTTCATCATTGTTTATAAAAAATTGTCAGCTTACCCAAACGGTTTTGTTCAATTTAATCCGTGAAATTTGCCAGAGTTTTACGCGCCTCCCACCTCCTCCAGCCCCGCGTAATTACAAGCAAACACCGTCCAAGTTCTACCGGGGTATTTAGTTACATCAAAATAGACTTATAATAAAGGATCGGCGGTAATTACCCCAAGCTGACAAACGATACGAAGCATGAACTTGTTGCTTTTGCCAATTAAAACATTTTTTCGCAAACTATATTCGGAAAGTTACTGATGAACGATTTAAAGACGCGTGTCGTTGTGTTGCTCTTTCTCTTCGCTAATGAACTTCGCAAAGTCGCCACACACCGAGCTTTTTCTCCCCCCCTTCGCGTCAGACACCTTAAACGTCGCGGCCTGCCAAATTCTCTCAGGTTCACCACATCATAACTCAAGATAATTCAATGAAACTCAAACCGCAGAACTAATTTCTGTCCGCTCCTCGAGCGGCGTGGGCACTGCAGCGAAGTGACAGCAATTAAGAGGTTTGGTTATTTATTGAACTCAAAGAAAGAAAGAAGGAGAAAGAGAGAGAGAGAGAGCCCTTCTTTTTTTTGTAATTGTGGCTTTTGGAGGAGAGCTGCAGGTCGAGGAGCACAAGAGTTTGCTTTTATAGGCTACGCGTAATACAATCCTCTCGGAAAGCAGCTCATTTCCATAGGAGGGCCATTACAAGTCAAAGAGGCTGCCGAGTGAGCCCGGCCCGGTGGCTACACTTACTATAACTTCACCCCTCATTGAGCGTAAACTCAGAATCGGCAGTGTCTCAAACCGTCTGAAGCCTCAAACGCACGGACGGAGAAATAACAGCCTGAGCAGGACGGTAACGAGATTTGGAAAAAAAAAAAAGCGACAAGAGATGCACCCCGTGTGGTCTTTGAACGCCTCCGACGCGTAGCCGAGATAACAAATGTCGCCCCGACGTGACAGGTCTGTGTAAAGTTTAATCAGCTGGTGCCTGTTTGTCGCCCTGGAATTGAATTTAAAAGCAGGTCTTATCTGCATTTGTGATTTTCCTTAACGGTGCGTTCAAATAACTGCTTTTGATTAATCCTCCTCAGAGGAACGTCTGAGCCGTGAAACACCCATCTCCACACGTTGGCATCGCCTCTGCAGCTGATGGATGTAACACAAGCCTTCCAATACGAACCTCAACCGTTATGTAATCGATCAGCTGGATGATGAAGAACATATTTAGCATGTAGAGGACAGTTTGATTGAGAGGATGGTTTGTTCCAATCAGCAAGCTAAAAAAAAAAAAACTCTTCCCCCTCTCTCTCCTCGGCATATGTCTTCCATCGAAACAGTAGGTTCTGTTTTATTGACCACACATAAAATGTTTTCTGCTCGGGATTCGAAAAAATATTGCTTTTCATGACTTCACTTCTTCGCTTTGTATTTGCGGAGGGCTGATATCGGGCGTGTTTTCAATTAGAAGGACGCACATGTGTTTAATGTGTTGCGCATTAAACATCATCCGCAGAACGAGCGCTTGTCCAACTTTTTTTTTTTTTTTCTTCTCTCGGTGGCCAAAACATGACTCGTCGGGCCGTCGCAGCCTGTTATTTCGGATCAATAAAACAGCGCAAGAAGCGGGACACACCCTCTGTTGGGTAAACATGTTTATGGATCGTACAACAACCCCATCTTAGATGCATGTGGAACCTAATTATAATAGAACGCAGACTCGGGTAGCTTGGCTTCGCTCCACGGCCAACAAATTATTCTTACTGGCACGGTGCGAGAAAAAACCGAACGGAGGACTTCAAACACCGACTTTATGGTAAACGATAGGCAGAGTTCAAAATTCTCACATTGTGCAATCTCCTCGCCTGCCTTTGAGGAAGTCTTCCTCTCTTTCCCCATTAGCCAAGAACATTTTTCATGCTTTTATACGCAACTCTGTCTTCATCTAGACTCATTGTAATCCCTCAGATGCAGATTTGTGTTATTCGAAGAAAGACCACAGGTTCTCCTTCTACACACACACACGCCTGCTTCTTATCATGAAACTGTTAAGACAGAAAGGGCCTCTTCTGGTCCCCCCGTATCTCCCCGAGCCATCTGGAGTATCCATGAAGCCACTTAACTGTTTAAGTGGACGCACACTTAAAGCGGCGACTCTCGCTCGCACCTCAGGAGTGAGCCGGCGTGTTAGTCAACAGGTGGCTCGTCCGGCCGGAGAGAGTCGACCAATTTGTCATCCGGCCGGACGCCGAGTCAGTCGGCTTTCAAGTCAACGAGGAGGACCAAATGTGGAGGAGGAAGAAGAGGAGGAAGAAGAAGTGGAGGAGGGGGGTTCGTGATTCCCACCTGTACGCCATGTGCTGTGCACCTTGATTTACAAGCAGGCTTGAGGCTCTGAGCCGTGGTTCTAAGCACACGCTCTTAAAAAACATTACCTGAACTCTCTGAAGCTCCAACCCAGAAATTCACTTTACCCCGTGTGCCTCAAACTCCTGTGACATGCTCTTAAATTTACAGGCCTGAAGACGTGCTGGACCGGCCTCCACGCTGCTTACTGGCCTTCCTGAGACCATGTGTGTGTGTGTGTTAGTGTGTGTGTGTTTGCATTAGTGTGTGTGTGTGTTTGCATTAGTGTGTGCTGTTCCTCTGAACGCAGCTAGAAAGCGGTGACAGATTGGTCTGATAAAAGCACTAATAGGTACACACACTTCTAGGGAGGCGTTCTGATAAGAAGAGCGAACACACTCACACACACTCACACTCACACTCACACACACACACTCACACACACAGCGAGGACAGATAAGAGCGGCAACAGAAGCTGAAACACAGGAAACAGGCAATAGAGATAAAAGGGAGAGCGCGATAGAGAGACGAGAGGAGGAATCCTGCTGGAAAACACACCGTCCTACAGAAGTATGGACTCGTCTTGTAGCTGCCTCACTTGTCAGAATATCTCACGAAACAACAACTATGTTGTTTCCGAGAGTCAGAGGTCAATCATAAGGAGAGCAGATATTACATGACTGCTTTACAGCGGTCTTCTCCCCGAGGCCTCTCTGTAACTCTATTATGCAGCCTGATTGAATAACAACCATATAGGTCAAAGTAAAGTAAGATTGCATTCTGACGCTTTCCTAGAGAATGATTAAAGTTGCGCAGATGCATAACAATCACACAGCATGACGCAGTTCAACCCCTTCAGCCGACACACACTAGAAATGTGTGATTTTGATTGCACGCACAAGCTTATTTATAATAGAGACTAATTTCAATACAAAGGGAAGGAATGATTGTGTTCAAGCTGGGATTTGAACATGTGGCCTCAACAGTCTGTGCGGTTAAAAACAAACCAAAAAAAAAAAGGCCAAGCTGCTAAATACCCCCACAAACCTCAAAGTACATTAATTCAGCTGAAGGCTTTGAAGGCTTTCAGAGTGACAAGTGACAAAAAGCAGAGGAAAAAGAAAAAGATCTGGAAGGAGGGGCAGCGAATGAGCAGAGCCGCATCACTGGTTTTCCCAGGAAATAAACAGAAAATAAAGCACTTACAGGGTGAGAAATATGGTGATGAGAGCTCAGTGACACACACTGTTTTTGGCTTTGTAGGTGTTTTAAGTGAAAAAAAAAAAAGGGGGGGGGAAAGTGATGAGAGATCTGGACTGGATTACACCGTCAGGATTTACAGTTTGGACTGTTTGGAAGCCTTCAAGCTTCGTCTCCTTGCACGAGTCACTACTATTTACGTCCGAAAATAGATGAAAACAAACAAGCCTCGGACAACTGTTAGTCAGCGCAGATTTGGAAACCTGACGGAGTTTGTTGGCCGTGAAATAAATGAAAGGTTTGGACTTGGGTGAGCGATTGGAAAATGATTACATTCCTGGAGCATGTGTGTTTGATAGACCCCCCAGTTTGGGAGGAAGTGTGACAGACGTTTTGGGCTCACGTTCAAAGCTTGACATTAATCAGAAACAGGCAATTAGGATTATCCTCCATTATTTTATCATTTGGTGAGCATGCACAAGCCGTTTCTGTCTTTACCTCACACATGCAGTCCCAGCGAGCCCCGTTTTAAACGCCAAACAGTCGGGTTGCCACGAAGAGGCACACACAGGATGATGCCGGTAATACAATGTGGCAGCTTTTTGTGCCGTGTCTCCAATAAACGGCGGCAAATTGTCAAGAAGTGCTTGTAGGCTTGGAGGACGTGTTGCTCTTTCGGTCGTGATGCGACCGCAAAAACGAGTGTTGGACCCGAGTAAGTTCTGTCTGTCCGTGCACGCCTCCACCTGTCTCTCACCGCTCTTATTGTCGTCGCCACACCGCTGCTGTGTACCCACCTGCACTCTCTGTAGATTTGTTTGTATCGCCTCCACATGTGTGCGTGCGTGTGACCACTCACTTGTGCCTCTCTTTCTTCCTCTGTTTCCTCACAGCATGCGATTGCCATCCCGTGGGTGCTGCTGGCAAAACCTGTAACCAAACCACAGGACAATGTCCCTGTAAAGACGGCGTGACTGGTATCACGTGCAACCGCTGTGCTAAAGGCTACCAGCAGAGCCGCTCGCCCATTGCCCCCTGCATAAGTACGTGGAACCAGCCTTTTACCCTGTCTGCCTCGCTGTAGGGCAGCATGGCCTCAGGTCGATCACACACACCTTGGAGAGGGCACATCAGAAAAACTGCAATATATACAAACATATACGCGACACACCCACCACACTGGAAGAAGCAGGCTCATCCTTTTCCTCAGACAAGTGCTTGGTGTCCCGCTGTCGGTTTTTCTGACCAGTAAATCTGCGAGCTTAAATAAACACACCATTAAAGTGAAGCTCAAGGTTAGGCCAGCGCAGCCTTCCCGGCTCGTTGAGCTCCATAAATCTGAGCAAAGACCCCGGAGCTGTTAACAGCAGCGTCTCCGAGGCCCGACGTGTTTTTAGGATGAAAGTGAAGGAAGATTTGTGTTGAATTACGAAATCTGTCTCAGTATCTAAAGTCTAAAGATAGTTTGCAGAGTAGTCAAAGGATAAGAAGATCTATTTCTATTAATTGGTTCTCTTATTGTAAGACAATTAAGCTCCAATATGTGTGACTGAGGTCAAAATAAATTCACCCATCATATCAGGTAAAGCAGGATTTCTGGAAACGTTCAGTCAGAGCCGAGGTGTCGAACACGCCCTGCTCCCTGTTACATAAAAGTAAAGCCCCTCTCTGATGATTGCATCCCTCCATTACACGAGCAATAGTTGCCAAGTCTCATTTTAATAGAGCTCCATAACAACTTTGAGTTTCTGTATTCTTTCCATTGTTGTCAGCCATAAATCTCCACAAGTCAATTATGAGAACCGGGCTTGTTTTAATTGGCCCACATGGCAGCTGAACACTGACGAAAGATCGCTGACCAACAACGGCATTAGGCTTTTTGTTTTTTTTGCCAGCGATTGTTTTCTTGTCATTATTTAGTCAGCACCAGTCAACAACAGGTGTGCACATCATTCCACAGATACTGATTTACGAGGCATGAATTTGGAAAGTAGGAGGCGGGTTTCCTCGGTAACAGCAGAGGAAATCTGATTCTGCTTGATCAAAAGACTTGATTCTTTCTTTCTTTCTTCCCCTCATACACGACACCGCTGCACAGCTGAAGCCGCCACTGTACTGCACACCTCTTCCCTCACCTTCTTTCTCTGCATGCATCTTTGATCTGCGGTTTTACCTTTTGTCCTCGTCTTCTCCCTCTGTTGCTCTGTGCAGACTTTTTTTTTTTGATGAGGCCCTTCTCTCTCCCTCCTGCCCACAATAACAAAAAAAAGCGTGTTTTGTATCTTCTGTTGCCATCCTGCCCCCCTTTGGAGATAAGACGGCTGTTCTCCATGCATGGTTTCTCTGAGTGTCAACTTCCTACCCGCTTGTGAATACAGCTGAGTATGAAGGAGGGCCGAGAGAATCAAGTCATCCAGACTGCTTTGTTTGGGTTTATCGCTGCTGCTGCAGGAGACAAGGGAGGCAGAAATGACGACTCAATGAGGAAAGATCAGTAGATTAAAAACCTTTAATGTGAACCTAAATACTAAGGAGTCCTGGATTATTGTTCATCAGACAGGAGGATCCAGTTGATGAAAGGCTGACAGTAGAAAACAAAATTAGGACACAGACACATTAACTCAACGCTGCTTGTTTCATGTTTGTACAGAAACATGTTGCTGTAGTTGAGCTTCAGTCATGTGACCTTGTCCAAGGTGAGTTCAGATACTTAAGCTTGGTTCGGTCCAACACATAGAAAAGTCTGGTCTCACTCTCGATACCGTCACATTTATCATTCCTCTGGCGTTCTCAGGTCTGTTAGTGGTCAGATATGGTTATGCATGAAATATGTAGGTGATGACAGCGTCTGAAGCAGAGGCCTGAGGATGTATAAATTAAGATTAGATTGAATAAAGATAAGAATGTAGTAATGCATGAACAAAAGTGGGGAAAATATTAGCTTTTTAACTTAGAAAAAAAGCTTAAAATAGACATTTTTTTGGCTCTTGATGCTTACAAACGAGTTAGTAAATTTGAAGCTTTCCACAGCTGCACAATAACACTAAAGGCTTGTCTGTTGAAAAGAAGCTTATGATTGTCATATTTTACTTCCTTTGAGTTGTTTTACCTTCATTCTTCCTTATTAAATATGCACATTCACACACGTTCACTGCATAGACACACATATTAACATAACTTTCTTTGTGTCACGTTTTTCTCCGGGAGAAGAGATTCCAGTTGCGCCTCCCACAACCCCATCCAGCAGCACAGAGGAGCCATCAGGTGAGTGCATCAGAGAGTCAAACAACATCTGATCTTTTTCTTGTATGTTTATCTATATGCTGCTGCTGCTGCTGCCGCTGCTGCTGCACACCCGTATAGGATTTGCCCTCGAGGGGAGAAGTGAGAATAAACGGACGTGGGATTTTTCTCCAGTTCAGTTTCACACCTCATCCCAATATTTTTCCACAAGTGTAAAGAAAAAAAAAAAAATAGACTGCAGGATAAATTGGATCCCACTTGCCTTCCCCCTCCTTATTAAGGGTTCATGAATATTAAATCTATTAGCGGCAACCCTGGGATGTGCCTCCTTTAATCTCTCACACTTTCACAATTAATCAGTCTAACTGCGGCACAGTGGGGTGTTGGTCTGGTGTGCGGCGCTGGGGCCTGCTAGTTTGTTTGATTTGATGATATTTCATCTCTCCCTCATTCCCAGTTTCTGCTCTCTGATGCAGTGAAGTGAGAGAAGGAGGGACGTGGATCTTGTGATTTAGCGAAGCATTCAATAGTACAGTTTTCATTCATTCACGAGATGATTCCTGTTTGAGTTTTTGTGGATCCTATTTTTAAGAAGGGATCAAGGCTGCAGGATTAGCTTTTGGTATATCAGATGCAAGAGATGCAAACAGTACAACTGCAGAATGGGTTGATTAATGGTAAATGTAATGGAGCTTGAGCTGGAGTGGGCTGTGAGCTTAATTGGATTTCTTCTTGAGGTAGATATTGTTGGTTGAATTATATGGATGTAGGAGTTTTCTTATTCCAGGTTGTGACATTTCTTCATCATTTTCTAATCTGTAGGCACAAAAAACTAAACACTCACATTCGTTGCTTACTGAACGCACACATCACACATCCGTACGGAACCCACAAGTCACAAGTTCCATGTTTCAAACACATGACGGGAAAAAACTTGAGTCATCTGGCCCGAACCGTCTGTTTTTTTCTGTCTCCCCCCATAAAGTTGCGAGAGGCCCAACGTATATACATGTGTGAGTGTGCGTAAGAGGCTCCTGCAGCTGTTGTTGGGCCCTCCGAGGTCCCAAACGTTTCCCCTGCACGGCTTCGATTGACAGCGCGGGCCAAGGGTATCGCCGGTCTCCGAAACCCTTCCTCCACCCCGCTTTTCCTTTTCTCTTTCAGTCCCATTTCGCTCTCTTCCACCTCCTTCGTCTCCCTCTGTTTCACGCTTTGTCTTCACATAGCACCGTGGGTGGTGCGGAGCTGGAATATCTGGAGTTTCTCTGGGCCTCCCTGTCAGGAATCTGTCTACTTTTCGGGCGTAGGAAATTTTCTACACATCAACGAGGCATGACTAGATAAGCGAGGGAAGCGTCTAGATACGTGTTATTTTATCAACTTGAACGAATGCGACGGTAATTAGAATAAAACGCAAGAAAAAGAGATTTTTGTTTTTGTAGTTTTGTTCCCACATCTATGTTTGCCTGTAACAACCACCTGGTTTCAGGCTAGAACTGACTAAAGCGTGTCATCGAACTAATGTAAACACAACCTGTAATGATTCGGACGATGACGCTACAGGTAATCTAATCATGACTGAGAGTTCTGGGAATTCCCTCTCCTGCGTATAATGGACATGGGACTGTTCAGCCCCAGAGGCTGAAATCAAGCAGACGGTGAAGGTGCAGCACCTTGATGGACATCCTGCGTTGGTCATGTCAGAATCATGAGTAACTGAGGTCCCGTCGGCCCACCCGGGCTCCAGGCCCAGAGGAGCCTCTTAAGAAGGTCGTGCAACAAGCGCACCTCTGCCTTGGCCTGGTATTCCACCAGCTATGATATCACCTAGCGTGATTGCAAACAGATGTGAGTGTGTGTGTGGAGTTTAAAACTTTCTTTTTTCTTTTTTTTAGAAAAAATAGTATCAAATAGTCATAATCTTTATGGCTTTTATTGTTTGCAGTAGCAGTTTAGATAAAAGGAAGTGCTTTATATGAAACTAAAGGAAATTATATAGCAGTAAATGATTGAAAAAAGCAGCCAATAATAGATTTTAATTACAGCATTTATTGAGGGCACATTTATAATATATATAGAAAAAAAAAGAGAAGAAAGAAAAGGAAATAGCTTGAGAAAATGGAACGTAGAGCAAATAAGAAACAAAAATGACGAGAAAAACAAACCAAAGAAATCTAAAAAAACCACCAAAAGAAAGATCAAAATGAAGAAAAAGTGAAATAAGAAATGTAGGGGAAGATGAAAGCAGAATTGGGGGATCCATTAAGAAACCAAAAGTGAATTTAGAAATATATGTGAAGAAGAAGAAAAAAAAAACAGCCCATGTGTAGGAGCTGACAGCTGTGAGGCAGGTGTCTCGTTGCGCCTCACTTGAAGGAGGGGAGTGGAGCCGGTCGGAGGGGGGTGGTGGTGGTGAGAGGAGAGGAGGAGGGTGGTGAATGGAGGGTATGAGGGGGGAAGATGGAGTGGATATTAATTTGTCTCTTGCAGCAGGGCTCTCCCCCTTGCGACCACACGGAGGGCTGGAATGCATGGAGAATACCTCCGATGGTGTGGCCCAGACAAAACACACATTGTGCTGGTAGGTCATGGATGGTGTGAGTCGCCACTCCCACGGGTCATGACAGAGACGTCTGCACGGCAACCAAAATGTGGAGGAGATTAACTGCTGATGACCTGCGATGGCCGCCTGGGCCCGTCAGGATACACAAGATGTGAATGCAGCTAATGATGATGAGGAGAAGGAGCACTGGAGTGATGATGATGATGATGATGCTCATAAGGGTTCAGTCTTATATAATGTATGTATGTATGTGTGTGTGCGTTTTGTCTGAGGCTGGAAGTGATCAGAAAACTGTGGCGGACCCCTCCTCAAATTTTTTGGACGTGAGTCTCGCTTCACACGCCCTGTTCGTCGACTCACAGTCACGCCAACGTGGGATCTTGTTACACCACTTAATTGTACGAGAGAGTAAATAATGGTAGAAGACATATTTTGCAAAAGAGCCACGGCCAAAACTGGAAGAGCACGGTATCAAATTGTCATTAAAGTTTTTCATGCAATTCGCTTTTTTGCATCAATCCCCCTTCTCTCTCCTTTGGCAGAGCTACTTCCCCTCTCTGTGGTTAAACTTTGGGTGACAACCAACAGGAGTCTCTGCTGACTCATCGGAGACTCATCGGTTACAGTAACGGAGGGTGAAGCAGCTCAAAAGTAAAATCTCAAATCAGGTCGAGGATTCTAGCAGCCTCTCTCTCTGACTACACAATGAGAAAGCGAGTGGGAGGGGCTCCTTTCTTTTCTGTCCTTTCTGTCTTTGCTGGACTGGATCCAAACTCACAGCTCTGATGTGAGCAGAGCGGCGGAGAACAGTGCGGGGCAGCACACTGGGCTCTATAATCTAATTACATGCTTTATTTGCCGCAATTTGTTTCTCAATCAGTCTGGTTGAGGGAACAAAGCCCTCCTCCCGGGCCATCATTCATACCTCCTTGTCTCACTGCTCTGGTAGCTCCGATGCTGCCCTGCCTCTGTTGCTGTGTTCACACTGAGGACCCCGCGTATAGAAACATCGGGAATGTGTCTATTTAGTTTGGTGGTGGGTGTTTTGAAGCTTTGCATAGTTTTCAAATCAACTGTGATTGGGGAGGCGACTGCAAGTTGGCTAAAAGTTGGGCACATTGCAGCGAACTCTATATGCAGTCAGCAAGCTCCAGCTGTAAATGTGGCCTCAGTGTTCTGACTGAATCGTTTTTCCCCACTGTATTTTTGAGTTACACTGGACTGTCCCCATAAAAATCAAGTTTTTTGACATATGTTTTTTTTTAATATTCAGGGAGACGTTAATGAGCCAAATAAGCGCCATAGCTGAGCATTTCTGCCTTGCTCAGCCATTGAAATACTTGGAAATTTAAAATTTCAACCCTGGGGTGTTATTAGTGGATATAAGGGGACTTTTTTTCTTTTTTGACTTTTTAAAAAAGTTTCAGATTTAGGCCAGAAATTAAAGTCAAAGCAGTTACCATATATGTTTCCTCACCCACCGGAAATTTTTTTTTAAATTAAAATCTAAATGATATGTGGATAAATGATTGCAAAACATACACATATAAAGAAATCATCAGTCAGACTTAAGCAATTTATGACACTTATGTCAAAATATCACTCTGGCTCACTCGTGATTGGTCAGAGGCCGTAGTGACTTCACTGATTGGCTGGATGAAGTCACGTGATTCTGCCCTCTGCCATTTTTAAAACCTACGGAAGTGACCATATATGGTTACTTGCCTATAAAGGGTTAAACCCGACGTATACCCAAGAAAGTCTCATAAACATGGATTCATACTTTTAGGGTTTGTAGCAGTCAGTCCTGTCATCTGGCACACTGTCTGTATCATTCTTGAGAATCGGTTACCGGTTCAATGAACCAGCTAAATTACTCCAATTTTACAACTTATCATTGTGCAGCATAGAGTGATTTTCGTGTATGAGCAGAGTCATGGGTGAGCTGGTGTAGAGCTAACAGTGTAGAGCTACATCTGAGTCATTTAAAGGCATGAAGGGACTGTTTTCATGAGATTTAAATGTGAAACTCTTCAATCCTTTGCTACGGTGGACTGCAGGTTATATTTTCAGTTTCTTTATGTCGTCTGTTATGGATTGATATGAAAGGCTGTGGGAGGTTTTATTCCACCAAAGCCAGGTCACAGCTCAAATGCTCATCAGCTCGATCTGCTGCACCTGCGGAGTAAAGCTCAGCTGCAGGCTGTTGCAATCAGCCTGGCAGATAGACTATATAAAGGTCTGCAGCTCTTCTCGCGTGGGGAGTGTGGATCTGGAGGCAGCACCATCAGCTGTCCTCCTTGGGAAATGTTTGAGTGTCTGAAAATGTGAATTAAGTTGTTGTTTCTTTCTTTTCCAAAACACTGTTCAAAATAGTGACTCTACCTGAGTTGTGTTGTGGGACTTTTTTTCCAACTATTCTTTACTCCTGATAGACTCAGTGGGCGGTCGATAGGAGAAATCCCTCTACTGCCTTTTAACCAACCATCCAGTTTCCCCATTTCACTACCTTCACGATCTTGTGTTTTTTATTTTAGTAGGTGGGAAACCTAGCATCACCCTTAATGCCTAGAGAACCTTGAGTCACCTTGTTGAATGGTAAACACATAAACCTTCCTCTCCTTAGCAAAGGGTTCAGGATGTAATGGTGCCATTATAGCAGGATTACAGAAACTTGTGATGCATTTGTCAGCAGAGGAAATGTTTTCCTGGCTTCTAAATTTTTTATTTTGGGATTTTGGTGCTTCTTGAGTGGCTTCTTCGTTCCTTTCAGTTTGACTTTCAGGTCCATGTTGAGAGGCTTGGTGTGCTTTTTGTAGTGCTTTGTGTACTGTTGTGTTTTGTTTTGTGTGTTGTATTGTGTTTGGTTTGTTTTTTGTGGCGCGGAGTGTCTTTTCTTCAGTCTTCTTTTTTTTTTTTGTAGTCATGATGCTTCTTTCCTATCATCCGGGGGGTTTTTTGGTTTCTTTTTTTAATAGCCAGGGCACAGTTTAATCCCTGGCTTGTTAGCAGTGTCATATTTGTCCTGCATGACACCCTTAACACACCTGAACTCTGTCAGTCCCTCTAAACACTGCAGTGTGTGCAAATTTCTTGGCCCAAATGTTGAACAGTTTGCATACTAGTTCTAGTGTGTGTTGCATTTGTTTAGCCTTAATCTGATGCCTAACTTTCCATTAAATCTGCTGCTTTGATCTGTTGTGTCAGTGTACCGTTATCTCCAGGAGCAACACTGAGGGAAGTGCTGTATTTATCCCTTGTTTCCCATTTATCATCCGTTGCAGTTTGACAGATCATCTTGTGCTTACAGAAAATTGTTCCACTCCAGTGCTTAAAGTCACATTATTCCCTTTGAATACAGAGACTTAAATTTGTCCTAAAACATGTGTGAACATACACCTTTGCAACACCTAACAGTGAAGTTGCTCTTCAGTTCTCTGCTTGATTCCTGAGCTTTTAGGATTAATATTTCTGGTTTCTTTAGATTATGGTAGCATTACCAACGTCCCCACAGATGCAGACGGTATTAGACCAACCAATAAATGTCCAATACAATTTGTATGCAGCATTTTCTTGGACTATTTAATGCAAGTTTGCATCAGGCCCACTGAACCCATTCCACACTGATGGTCCTTGTTCTGGGATCAGGGTTGATATGTTCATAGAATGCAGCAGGTTGCATTTTCTGGCTTGTTGTGTTGATTTTACTCTTAATTTGAGGAGATTTTATGGACGGCAGACTTCTGCTAAGTGTCTCCTATCGCTCAATGTTGTTCTTCGTTATGGAGCACTAGCTGACTGACTTTCCTGATCCCAACTCAGGTGTTGGCGTCGCTCCTTCCTCCACCACTGTAAAGCACTGGCTCCAACACGTGGGACTGTGCGGCACCGTACTCCCTCCTGAAGCAGCTTTAAGGAAAACGATTAGCTTCAAGGGCTCGTACAGTACTTTGATAGAAGGGGCAAAGGTCCACCTCTCAGTTACACACTCCTCAGCGCTGTGAAAGGCCCGAAACAAAGCGCTGGAGTAACTACATCTACTCAGAACACCCAAAGCACATTTTAGCTCAGTATTACAGGACTGCTTCCACTTCTCCTGCTTGTAACGCACGCACAAAGGGAACATTTGTCCTCACGGTAGGGGACTGCCTGGCCCTAAATGGGCATCTCGGGGTGCTCTCAGCGGGGCCCGGAGCTGTGTCTCAGGGGTACACTAATGGGGAACGAAAGGCTATCAAAGGGAAGTATCACGATGGCATCACGGGGGGGTTATGAGAAAACAAAGCTTCCTTTCCACGGTCGCCCCCCCTCCCCTTCCATCATTTACATGGTAATCAGGTGCAGCTCATATAGACTCCTCTGTTTCATTTACTTTGCCTATTTTTTTGCTACTCTCTATTTCCTACCACCCGTCCTAACCAGCTTTTTTTTTTTTTGCTGATTTGGGGGTTTTACTTAAAATCCTGGACCTCCTCTTCTTCATCCCACCCCCTCCTGTTAAATTTCACTCTTGTCTTTTTTTTTTTTTGTCCACCTCTCCACCCCTTCGCTCTCCACCAGTATTCACCCTCCCGCCTCCTTTGCCCCCCTCTTTTTTTTTTTTTTTTTGGGTGCATTTTTTCTCGTCGTGGTGTTCCCCGGGCAACCTCATTCAAACGGAGTATAAAGGAGAGTGGAGGCATGGAGCAAAGATCTGGTGACATCAATGATGTTTGTTCATATTCAGGCCGCCTGAAAGCTCCGATCCTCCTTCCACTCCCCCCCATCACTCTCTGACACTACAACTTGCTGTCCATCCATCTCTTTGTCACCCTCTTTTCTTTTACTACACTCATTACAAGTCGCCGAACTGAATCGTAAACCAAATAAGTGCTCCAATTTTTTTTGGCAGTCCGCGAAAGGGGGCCAAAAAAAAAAAAAGAAGAGCAAAACAAGTTTTTCTTCTTTTCCCTTGATACGGCCTAACATCACGTTATTTTGGCTGGAAGTGGATGACAGCAGGGCATGAAGCAATCACTGCAGTTTGTGGATTGCTGGGGCCTGCCGAGTGGAGGGTGGAGATGAACTGCTGCTTTCTTCAGTTTATGGTAATCTAGCGTTAATGGCATATCTTTATGGATCCATTTGGTCACGGTGCAAGGTTAAACTCTGCTTTGCATGTGTTTTCACCCCCAACAAGTGATCAGCAAATGGAGATATTGTGGTGTAGCAGAGATGCTTCTTTGAATAAGTAGAGTCACTAAGGTTTAATCCCATATTTTAAACATTTGTGTAACGTTAATGCAGACATGTGGCTTCAGTCCACATAGTATTCGTACGGTACAAGACTCAGCATTTCTTTATTCTTAACCAGCATAGACACAATTGTTCCCTTTCCCTGCCAACTCTACAATATTTTTTTTGTCTACCAGCTATGCTCTCTTTTGAGGTTGTTATCCACATGTTGGATTAATAAGAAATCAAATGTTTCTTCTTCTACCTCCAAGATACATCTAGTTTGAGGGCGATTGGGGTGACCCCTCTGCCTGCGTGAGGTATTTATTTGTTCAGAGTTGAAGCACCCCCCCCTTTAAAAAAAAAAAAAGGCTCCTCAGCCTGACGCTTCATGGATGGCTAATTTTCCCTTCCTGACCTCCTTTTGTGTGGCATTGACCCCCTTCACCCTCCTCCCACCTTCTACTCCCTCAAATAGCTGCCAACTCTGAGCGCTCTTTCCAAGTAGGGAGGGAGGGTTGGAGGGGGGAGAGTGCAATAAATGCAAAAGCTTGACATGGTCCTCAGTGGGGCATTGAAGTGATCCCGGGGTTATTTTTTTTTTCAGGAGGTCGGGGGGCTGAGGTGACAAGCGAGGTGAGATTTGGATGGAGGGTGGGGGGTTTAAGGCGGGTTGTAGGGTGGTCTGCACAGGCCGGGCTCATTCCCACAGTCTGACGGCGAGCGAGTGGGTCGACGGTGATTTGTCTTTATCCGAAAACCACCTCTGGTACCAGCAGCTGCTTTCATGAGAGCAGCGCGCACATGGCGAGGTGGTCGGATGGCAAAGTGCTTCCACCACAACCAAAGACACGCAAACCGCCGAAGTGATTCCAGCGGTGGCACGGCAGCATCAGGCAGCATCAGGCAGCACAATCACAGCAGACAGATGTGTCAGCCAGAAGAGTTATAGTTGTAAGGGACAAGCAGCAGTCCCTAAGGGCAGATGTCTATTTTTGCTGGGGGTTTTATTTCTTTCGTCTTCTTTTGCTGCTTTCATTTTCTATCCCAAAAACTACATCATAATGAAAAAAAATACATTTTAAAGAAATAGCAAGACGCACCCAAATCTTTAGGTTCTGCTAAATCTGGGTTTTTCGCTTTCTTCCTTCCCAAAAACTACATTGCAATGAAAAAAATAAAAATAAATTAGATATAACATTGAAAGAAATAACAAACAGACATGAAATTGTGCTAAAACTCTGCAGTTAAAAACAAAAAAAATAGAGAAAAACATGTTTTATACACTTTAATTTAATCTCAATATGGATGTATTTTATTTGTAATGTTGCATTTAAATAATTAAATCAATAAAATGTTAATCTCTTTAAGCGTTCAAAAAAATAATTGTTTTTAAAATGTATCAAAAATCATGTTAATCATTGTAAACATTGTAACATTCATTTATTATTAATGAATAATTGCAACAAATTGCTTGAGAAATAAATGGCAACATTTCTGAGCTGAATGCTAAATTATTCATTTGTGTTTTTGTGATTTCTTTGCGGGAAATATCAACAACAAATTCTGGGAAATTTTAATTTGCATAAAAATGAATTAAAATCCACCAGACGTGCTACGACTTTGGATAGTTGTGTTTTTCCTGAAGTCACTTTATTAGAGGCTGTTGTTTTTTCTGTAATAATGATTCTTGGGCCGATTCTGACACTTTTAATTCACAAAACACAACAGCCTACGTAATCCATTGACTGTTTTCTCCTTATTTTTTTCCTGCAGACTGTGACTCTTACTGCAAGGCTTCAAAAGGCAAACTGAAAATCAACATGAAGAAGTACTGCAAGAAAGATTACGGTGAGTCAACAGACAGCCCATCGAATGACTCAGATTTGTTTCTTTGGAAAAGCTTAAAAACATGTGGCCTGATGGAAGAAAAAGCCCTCCACGTTTTTTTTTTTTTTTTTTATTGACTTGGCTGTGGATAATAAACTGCTTTGTCATTCTGCAGGGACACATAACGCTGCACTGAAACTTTTTGGGAACATTTCCTTCCAGTGATCAAGTATTCCGTTAAAAAAAAAAACAACATACAAGTCTGCCAATTCTTATTTTTTTGCGACATGCATATGTTTACTCCTGCACTCCCGTCCTATACATCTGCTATAGTTTACATGATGTCTTACTCTTCTGAGAATAGAGACAAAGGATCAAACAGAAGAGTTAGAGGCAAACAGAGGGGCAGCTCGAGAGAGGAGTCAGGCAGAGAGGTGTGTGTGTGGGAAGAGTTCTATCTGAGCCGGCATTTAGGACCTGAGCGGATGAAGGCAGTGTGACGGACAGTGGGCAGGCTCTCCCAGAGATCCTCATTAAGACGGCCCACTTCTACCCCCCACCCACGACCCGATGCGCTTTCCTGCCGCATTCCTGTGACCATCCGTCTGCCACGCCATTCGAGGTGTGGATAAGACGTATGACCTCTCCCCTCTTCCCGTCCCTCTGTCCCCTCCCCTGATTGAAGTCAGGCCGCTGAACTGGTCAACCGGGCGGCGGCATCCTGCGGCATACTTGGGCGGCTTGACGGACAGGCCCCGGAGGGCCTTTGTTCTGCGGGGATTTAGGGGGAGTTAGGGGGTCGGCTTATGGACACCTCCTCTTCCACCGGTGCCTACCTTGGTGTCGTGAGAAAAGCCTGCACGATGAAATATGTCCGAATGCGTCGGCTTTAGGGGGTTTGCTCGGAAGGCAGATAGTGGAAGCGGATGCGTCTAAAATCAAGAACCAATAGGATCATTAGGATATGAAATCAGCAGGATAGCTTTCATTTGAGGGTGTAAAGATGTATCAGGATATCCTGCTGGAGAAACAATCACTCAACACAATGCAGAGTACCCTCATCTACGAACACGTCCCAAGAGCCTCCAAAGTGATTCTGCATATGTGTGAAGCGTAGGGGATCTGCTGGTACTGATGGCTGAGATAAAACCAAGCAGAAGACAAATCTCCTCTTATGTTTATCTGTGTGGATGCAGGATATTGTTATGTAGCATTAGGGAGACTGAATGGAAGAAGCTCTTGAAATATGAGACAGTATTAACGTTGGGGATGTAAAGTGTAATTTAACCCTCTGAAAATCCAGGTTTGGAATTCATATCATCTGAGTAATCAGCAGTCATTTATTAGAGGCAGGAAAAGTAATAACAGAATGAATTTTTAGCTTTTAAACGGTCTTCCGGTTGCGCTGTCTGTCAGAAAATTGACAAAATTGAACCTTAAAATTTGGATATTTGGACTTTATTACTACATGTCTCGTTTGAAAATTTGCAAAAACATAGCATGTAAGCTAACTAAAGCTAACTAAATCCTGAATTAAAAAACCCAAAGATTCTGTGCGATCCTGCTGCCGCACATAGAAATGTAACAAATCTCTGACTTGTTGCCTGAACTACAGGTTTATATGGGAATAAATCAAACATGAAAGGAGTAAAATATCTATAGCAGGTAGAGGCACCATTTTATTTTATATTGTTATCGATAACACCTGTACGTGGGGATTCCAGGTTGTATTTTTTTCTACTTCTAGCCATGTTTGTGCTGTTTTCATAGAGATGCATGAAAAAAAAAAAAGTGAAAATGTCACTAAAAAAAATCCTCCCAGAAGCTGCTTGGGGTTTAGAAGCTTAATAATAATACAGTTGGGAAGGTTTCCTCTCATGGTTTTGTCATTTGCAGCTGATTAGGTTCACACACAGACAGATGCAGATTTGATGTGTTCATATTTAAAAACTTCTGCAGTTTTCGTTGCAGACTGTTTAAGATTTTTGTTTGAGAAGTGGATTCTAACATTTCCCTTTATCCGCTCTCTCATCCCTTCGCCTTGTGTTGGGAATGTACAGCACGTGATCCTTCATAGTTTACAGCAGCAAGACTCCTAACAGAGCAGAACAAGATCCCCGAGCACTATTTACCCGAGTGAAGCCGCTCGAGAAGCCATGTAAAATCTACAGGAGCTCCACAGAGAGCCGTAGCTTTTGGGCCGCTTTGAAAGGATCAGCGGGGAGCTGGGTTCCACGCTGCGCCGGGAAACGATGCTACAAGCTCCTGCGGTCGATACGCAGACGTGCATAAAGAATCGCAGGAGGGGAAGGCAGGGTGCAGGGGAGGGGCGGAAACGTCTGATCTCAGCAGAACTGCTCCGGGCCTCCCCGTATCCACAGTGCACAGCGATTGTTGTCCAAACACAAACAGAGCGAAGAGCTCAGGCGGCAGCTGGCAAGGTGCTGCGAGGGTCGCTGTCGGGTCATCACGGATCAGCTGAGCGCCATTTAGGAGCCGGTGTCCTACCTAACCCAGCTGTTCAACGATTAGGATACAGAATTAGAAATAAAAGATGGCGGGAAAGAAGACATGTCAAACCTCCCTGTCTCCTCTAATCACCACGTTGTATCTTGTTTATTCAGTACAAAAACTACAAGTTTATGGTTTTCTGAAATATTTCTTGGACAGCTTCAGTGACTTCCAACGTTTCTATTAGTTGTGTTTAGTGGCTAACCACCTGGACGCTGCCCGGCAACTAGTCTATAAATCTACAAATTGCTGTTTTTGCACTTTGATTTATGGAAAACGAAACAATCAAAGCAGATTTACTTTACTTTGGCTCCTGTGTCCTCGTGAAACTCAGTCTGTGTATCCCCCAAAACGTCAGACTCGTCCTTTAATACAAAAAAGTCCTGGAAACGAAATTATCCCCAATAACGGATATGTTTTCAAAGTCAGGAGGACACTACGCCTCGCAGTAGCTGAAAACAATTACATTTTAGAGGCACTTTTAGATCTTTGCCGTTTATAAAGCACCAATCCCAAAGCAGTGACCCGACGTCTACGATCCAAAACCTGCTCTGAATACAGGATATACTCTTAATACAGCCAAGATGTTCACTTCCATTAGCTCCGCGCTGAAGGTGAAAGCAGTGACCTCGCCACAAGGTGGTTCATTTTAAAAAGCAGCCTCCTCTAAGTACAGACCAACTGTAATGGAACTTAATAGAGATCTGGTCAGTATAATACATATTGATAAATGCTGGGATCGGATCCACGAGAGGCCGCCGCCGCTGCCGCCTCCTCTTTTCTACTTTTTTCTTTACTCTTTCTTTCTCCCTCTCGCTCTCCGAGGACCGTATCAGCTCATTCATCATGTGATATCACTGAGTGTCTTTCCAGCTAGCGTCTCTAATAGCCGTAACCGGCCTCCTAATCACATTACAAATCACACTGCTGTGTCAGTAGTAATGGACATAATGCATGTGGAGCTGTGGACGATAGCCGGACCGTAGACCGGCCTGTTCCACAGAGTATAAAAACAGGGAAGTAAGGTTTCATCTGGTGTCGTTTATTGGGATTTAGAATACGTTGGTGCCCACGATTTAATACATCGCACGTATTTGTTTGAAACGATTTAATAGCTTTATCAACGGCAAAACTGATTACGTAGCAAACTTTGCAAGACTAACGCCAGCGCAGAAATACAAGAGATGAATAAATCTGCATCCTGCAAAGCCTGAAAGCTCGCCTCTGGTGCAACCAACAAAAGAACCCCTTAAATCCAAGAGGCTTTTGGGGACACAGAGGTCAGATCTTCCAGTCTTCTCAGAAGGCTTTTGGACGCAAAAAATCCCTCAGCATGGGTCAAGTACTCCCAGCAAGAGTCTCTCCACACTGTGCCCGATGTGCTTTGAGCTGCCAAATCTCCGCTAGTGGCTGCTGAGGACAGAGTGTGCTGATGTTTGCATAATGTCCAAGAAAAAGCTTGGAAGGAAGGGAGAGAAGAAAAAACACAGAGCCTTTCCTTCCAGCGTGACACAGATCTTTGAATGCGGCGGCTACTCTTCAGTGAAAAGCTGATGCAGCAAACTGAAGCCAAAAATAAGGCTTTCATTATAACAATAAAAATAGCTGCATATCTTCATGCAGGAGAGAGGTCTTTGATTTAATTACCTCAATAACTATCCAGGGACATGGTGCCATGACAGAAACAGTCAGTGGAGTAGGGAGGCCAACAGTCGAGGAGGATTTGGACAGATTGTTGAGCTGAAAAAGGTCAAAGCAAAGCAAAGAAGCATCACGTGGCAGGAATATGGTGGGCAAACTGCTTGGAGGTTTTTGGGGATGCTAGCTGCTTGGCTGCAGGGATGTAAGTTTCTGACTGAAATATCTCAACAACTGCCATAAAATCCTCTGCAGATATTCATGGTTCCCAGAAGATATATCCTCCTTAGTTTAGTGATCATCTGACTTCTTGCGCTCTATGTGGCTCCATTTCATCAGTGGAACTAACAGCATTCACTAGTCTGCTTTGTTAAGCCCATAGACTGTATAAAAGATGGACGTAGCAACCGGTCCTGAAAAATGAAGCCAACCCGGAAGTGTCAAAAACCTGCAATATCACTACGTCCACTCGCTGCTGGCTCCATAAAGCCCTGGCTCCCATAGACTTGAATTGGAAAAGAAGTGATCACAGATCACCAAATACTGCATTCCTACAGCTCAGGATGTGTTTATTAGTTTTCATGGTCAAATCCAGAGATCAGGTGGCCAATCTGAAAATAAATCAATACTGAATTTTTAAAAATCGTCAACATTTTGCGGGGCAAGGGGCGTGGCTGGCTTGATTGACAGTCAGCAGTGACCATAGAGACGAAGCGAGCAGAAGGCGGTAAATGTGGGCGGGCAGAGAGGGCCCGCCTCTCAATCCGTCTGACCAATCACTGCTCCTATGGCTCCGCCCCCCTCTGACGATTTTTGAAATCCAAGATGTCAACCAGGAAGTAGCAAAACCCTGGCTTCATTTTCTCAGTGCAGAAACCAACGGGTGATGTCACGGTAGCTACGTCCATCTTTTATACAGTCTGTGGTTTTGTGCTAATTTGACACTAGGATGCTGGATTGCATGTTTTGTTGGATGCAGCGAAACAAACTGATCTCTGTCGCTTCACTCTGCAGCCGTCCAGGTGCACATCCTGAAGGCGGACAAAGCCGGCGAGTGGTGGAAGTTCACCGTCAACATCATCTCCGTCTACAAGCAGGGCGAGAGCCGCATCCGTCGCGGGGACCAGTTCCTGTGGGTCCGAGCCAAAGACGTGGCCTGCAAGTGTCCCAAGATCAAACCCGGGAAGAAGTACCTGCTGCTGGGGAACGACGAGGACTCCCCCGGCCAGAGCGGAGTGGTGGCCGACAAAGGCAGCCTGGTTATCCAGTGGAGGGACACGTGGGCGCGCAGGCTCAGGAAGTTCCAGCAGCGCGAGAAGAAAGGCAAGTGCAAGAAGCCATAGATGGCATGGGGAAGAAGAAAAAAAAAAAGGTGGAAAGGATGCTGGAGGAGGAGGAGGAGGAGAGGGATTCAAGAGAAAAAAGCTGAGCGGGTGATTGGAGGAGGAAAAAAAAAAAAGAGACACACAGAGGACCACGGACAGAGAAGAGACTGTTTATGTCGCTGCTTTTTTGTGTAGAAGCATGAAGAGAATTATTTAGGATGATTTTTTTTTTGTTTTCTAGTGAACTTTTGTTGAAGGAGCTCACCTTGCAGATTTGGTTTTATGGTTTATTTTACTTTGAGATTCGTCTCTCTTGTGGATTTGCCGAATTTGCACCTATTACCAGTATATAACATTATTTTGTGTTTTGTTTTCTTTATCCCAGTATGAAATCATTATATTTTATGTTCTAATTTTATGGACTTTTTTTTTTTTTTTCTTGCTGGTGCAAAAGAAAAAAAGACAGAAAGCCACTTAACTACCGCTGCAATTTTTTATTTTTATTTTTTTTGCCTCTGCATGGTTTTTAAAAACTGTATTCTTAGCTAAGAAGCGAGCTTGTTTCATCAAAAGTCTTCACTTATCTGATCGAGGCAGTATAACATTTCCTTCATTGAGATTTGTGCCATAAAAAAAAAAAAGTGTTGTTGCTTAAGCCACAGAAATCCTTTCCCGTGTTGAAATTCAGGTATATCTGCAAAAAAAATAAAAAATCAGTTTTTCCTAGATTTTCATCTGTCAGGACTTTTACAGATTTAGAATATGCAAGTGACAGAAGAAGAGGATCAGGGACAGAATACAGTATTGAGGAAAAAAAAACAGCATTTGTGATTAATTTCCCCTCAGACCTGCATGTGAATGCTTCTCATTGAGATTGTAATGTTCAGTAGACTAAACGGTGCTGCTTTTGGTACTAATTTTAAAGTTGTTTTTTTTTGCGGGGGAGGGGGAGGCGAAGAAAAGAATGCATTTAAAATCACTGATTTCACTTTCAGTAACTGTGATTTATTTTTTTTTACTCTTTATTTCACAAATTCAGTAGAAGTTTTAACAAGTGAGTTGAGGGCAGGAGGCCACACACATTGGTTATTATAAAATTCATGAGTAGAGCTAATGAGACGGGCGCTTAAGTGGCTGCAAAATAACATTTCAAATGAATCGCATCAGCATTGCAGTGACGATACTCCACGTGCTCTACCGCTTGCTTCCCAACGTAGATTATTGTGCAACGTGAATGCAACGTTAGAATGGCGCGGGTGAAAGTAGTGCACCCGCCCGCGGCTGCAGGAGCTGCATGTTCTCAGAAGGTACTGACAAAGAAATGCAACGATACAAATGTTTATATGGTGCATCTCTTCACACCAGCTCATGGACGACTTTGTGTTCAAATGGATCCTTCAAAATGGGTTCGAATGAGACCGAGGAGGGAAAAAAAAAAAGTGTACGAATGGCTGCCGGCTACCAAATCTGTCTTAAGCGAGCTGATGATTACACCTTAACTAGTGCAGGTTGTGGAAAGCAATATCACGAGAAGGTGGTCGTCTTACCTCGTGGCGCAGAAACGAATCCTTACAGTGCAGAAAAATGAAAACGCCATGACTTAAACCCTCTCACCGGCTTGTATTCATCCAGAATACCTCCTACGGTACCGGCGCATTGCAGATAAATACCTTTGCAGTCCGCGCGCTCCTTTTGCAAACACAATGCACGACTGTACATTCACCAGGAGGACACTGTGCTGCGACCAGTCAGGAGCTGCAGGCTCCCCATTGACCTGCCATTTTAATTCTCTTCACTTCAGCACCGGCAGAGGGAGAAACGGGGCTGAATCGCAATCACTTGTCGCTGCTCGATTCAAACCACTTTTGTTCGTTTGTGTGTATGCAGTTCTCCGAGGAATGCCTGGTTAAAGAAAAAAAACAACACACAGCTCAGGTTTGTGATTTCAAACCACAACATCATGAGCAACATGTTTGGGAGACTTGTTGTCTCAAAAAAATCCCGTTTTCTAACAGTCCCCGTGGCTCAAGTGAATGTAAAAGGGGGTTTAAGATGATTTAAAGGCAAGATTTTAAGTTAACGGACCCTAAAATTTGATTCCTCTATCTCAGTTTTCCTTTTTTTCTCCTTTTTAAACAAACTACAAAGCTTTCCCAATGATGACAAGTTAGAACAGACACCTGATCTGCTGATCTCCATATTTACATTTAGGGTTTGATGGAATTGTTTTTTTTTCACTGTGCAATCAATCAGCTGATTGTTTTCAGGCCGACATGATGCTACATGCCGGCGGCTCCTCCAACAACGACCCGCTGACACGTTCGGTGCATTTACATGTTTCACCGTTAAACCTACGACTTCATGTTCAGCTTTTCTTATTCGACACGACGTACTCTGTAATCACACCTCTCTGTAGCCTCATGCTGTAAATTTTCTACAACCGTCTCCTGAGCAATGGTTTGACAAGCTTCCCGATGAAACGCTACACACACACACACACACACACGTCAAAGCATTGCTTTGTGTTCATACTATGAATTGTAAATGTTGTTGTCACCATTGCAGACACTTTTTTTGCAATGTTGTTTTACAATGCCTACTAATATATTATGGTTATTATATATGAATATATTTAATGACACAAGACATTGTGGATTTTATTGTCTTTTTCAACTTTTTTTTTTTTTTTTTACTTGTTTGTGGTTGTTTAGATCGTTGCCATTAAAGAAGGAAATAATAACTACTGAACACACCAACCTGGTAGAACTAAATTCAGATTTTCAGTTGAAATAAACTCTTGTTACATTGAAAAAAAAAACTCTTTCGCCTCCGTGTGTCGCCTCGAATGATTTCCCTTTTTATTTGTTTGGCTAGTAAGCTAATGCCCCGGCATGCGGTCGGCTTCTCTCCGTTTACTGGTTCATTCAAGTACAGTAGAAAAAACAGCACGATCCAGGTTTCACGATGGAAAGTATGAAAGTGGTACAAGTCGGTCGAGACTTTGTCAAAGGTCCACTCCAGCAAAAAAAAGATCAGGTTACAAAACACTCCGGTCCTCCAGAGACGGGCGCGACGGGCATGAACGCAGACAGACAGGAGTCCAGGGACTATTAACTGGAAATGTCATTTATTAGAAATTACAAGCTGAATTGATTTACAAGGAAGGAAAAGAGCCGCGTTAGTAACACAGCCGAGCTGTTTGTTTTGGCTACGAGCTGCTCTCTAAACATCGTAAAATCCAAACAAAATGATAACATTACGGCTGCTACAGTAATGCATGGGTAAATATAAGTGAGTGTGAATATTGCAAAGCCAGTGGAATCGCTGCACCCAGCGTAAACCTCAGGCCGACCGCAGACGGACTCATGAAAGGAAAGCTGCTGCCTGCGGGAGGTCCTACTGTTGGGTCACGATTCCCCCAAAGTCCAGGCTAAAAATAACCTTACAAACCTCTGAATACTTTACCAGTTGCTTGATTTGTTTGATTTGACAGTTCAACAGCGATTAAAGAGGACGATTTACACACTAGCAATATTTAGGAAACATAAAAAAAAAAATACCTTTATCCCAAATTACTGCTAAATAAGTTACTGCTCTTCACTTCACATTCACTTTCACCAGTTAGTCTCGATGTGGAGAGCAAGAATGATGATGGGAGACTGTGTCCAAATGAAAATCTGTACATGTGTGCTGTGGATGTTTTCAGCTGGTAGTTTGTATCCGACTGCAGCCGTCCGACCGGCGACGTCTTCATCGGCTACACCGGCCACACAGCGACCACTATGATGGCTATGAGGAGCAGCACGATCACCACCAGCATCCCTGAGAGGAAAACAAACGAGACACGAGAAGGGAAAATGAGAGATGGCAAAAACCAAACCAGTTGATGTTTTTATTCCAAACTCCAGGAGTCCCGTTTGGTGGAACTGTTGGAAGCTTGGTTTTATAATGTGATAACACGCCTCGAACTGGCCATTTGTTGTAAACAAACATGAGCCAAATCCATCCTCCATCCTCTCTAAACATGATCTTGTGCCTGCGCCTCACATAAGAATGCAATCAGAAGGTGCTTTAAAGGAGGAAAACCACACGCCAGCACAATACGGAGCTGTTAGAATCACAGCTCATTCAGATGAAGTCAGCTTTTTATTATCACTTTTTTTTTTTTTTATACTTAATGTTAGGTCACTACAACCCCTTTGTGATAAAACCTTTACAGCTTAAAAAACTCTTTTTAACTTTAAAGTTGAAAAGGCAAATGTCAAGCAGCTGAGAAACTCCAAACCTGATTTGAGACAGACTGGGAGGGAAGGAGGGGAATTCAGCAGGCACAGGGGAATACGCTTGGAAGAGGTAAGGAGCCCACATACCTCACTACTAATTTTCAAAGTCCTTGATCTGACGCGAGTCCCAAGTGCTTATGCCCTTGCAGCGTATCGCCATTCTTCTCTTGATGACTTAATGTAATTTACATGCGTTCGACGGCCACAAAAAGCTTTACTGCCACAGATTGCGCACTGTGATAGGCATATGTTTCTGATTCCGCCCTGAGAGGATAATCATTGTTTTTCGCTGATACTATGGCAGCAGAGAAAAAATGTGCAAAAGCTCACTCACACTTCATCAAAGTGCTTTACCCCCAGGACCTGAAAAATATTACAGTTTTTATTGTAGTCACCACCCAGGGGAAAAAAAAACGCTGTAAAATCCACTGCAGGTAGAACTTTTATCCTCCGTGAAACAGATGCACAGTGGACATCTTCTAGACTCATTCAGTCGGAACCATTTTGAAGAAATGTACCTTTAACTCCACCGTTTTTAACAGACAAATAGTTTAAATTGCAGAGGACTCCACAGATTGACATGCAGAGAACTAACGAACTTTTGCAAAACATCTTATGTTGCAGGAATTAGAAATAAAATCTGCAACCACTGCAAAAAAGAGAGAAAGAAACCAGAACTTAAAAAAAAATAAACAAAAGTAGTGAATAAAAATGGAAAATAATGACAAACATTAGTAGAAACTATGATTTTAATCACTTCAATACAGAAAAACACTGTAAAAAGAAAAAAAATAGTACAGTCGTGACTCGATAATCCGACCCTTAACAATCCAAAACCTTGCTATCCGACAGGTTTTTAGGAAAAACGAACGGAACCCATGAAAAACAGCCTTAACATACCGACAGCCTTGGATTCTGACTCCGACATGACATTTTATGTCACATTAAGGATAACGGCGTATTATCTGACTGAACAATCCCACAGATTGGCTACGTTCACACTGCAGGACTTGATGCTCAATTCAGATTTTGTTGTGAGTTCGTTCACGTTTCCAATTAAATGCGACTTGTATGTGATCTGCTGTGTGAACTTCATACGACCCAAAAGTGTCCCGCATGCACAGAACAGGACACAGTGATGTCACACGCAGCGAGCGTGCTCAGTGTTCACGGGAGAAAACACGGATGGTAACGGTGGAGTGTATCTGCTACTCCCCCACCTCCACCAATGGTGGAAACAGAACTGTGACCACTATCCTAAACTGGCATCAGCAGCCAAGTGTTGCCTGTACGTTCCGGTCACTTCCGCCCCGTCAGAGTGCTGCCCCGGGGTGGAAGTGTCCCCCAGACCATGCTGAATATCCATCATTAATTGGGCCCAAATATCCAGAGCCCAGACAGTGCTATTGGGACCAGCCCTACTAGTTATTATAATAACTATAAACAATAAATATTAACAACAAACGACCCTTCCAGCATCAAGCCCTCCTTGTATCTCGACCTCCATCTTGACAATCCGACAGCCTTGCTATCTGACATAAAAGAAGGTTTTACATTTAGTGTCAGATTATCAAGTCACGGCTGTACTATATCGCAGGGACAGTGTGTTTCCACTTTATATTATGATTATAGCTGATTGCTGATGTACAATATTAACGTATATGTTTGTGGGACACACATGCTATAAACTTCTTGGCTCAGTCATCCATTTATGAATAATTATATATCAGTAGATTTACTGTAGACACATTCTGAATCTCAAATATCAACATAGTAACTGGCCTTCAAAATTAAATGGTGGAAGCTCAACAGGAGCACATTAAAACCACTATTCAAAAAGAGAGTCCAATTAAATATATGGAACGTGACCAAAGCTGCTACCGTGGGCCTCCACCCTTCATGCAGCATCACAATCTTTACACCAGAGGCTGCAAATGATCGCTTGTCCGAGGCCCCCCGTGAAAAAGCAAAATCCGATAATCACGTCAGGTTTTTACAGATACTGATGCAGACACGTCGCCCACAGTGGTCCCAGCGGTAATAAGAGCATTAGGAGCTGTGGCTCCATCAGATTCCAGCCCAGCTGCTCCACATTGAGGGACACAGCAGTGAGTTGATGGTGTGGCTTCTATCACACGCATCATAAACACTCGAACATCTTTACAACGCGGCGCTCTTTCCCCCCGTCTATATTCAATAACTGACACCGCAAAACTATGCTCCACACACACAGAAGATATGGAAAACATTCGCCAAGGTTTCACTGTTTCCCCTCCTTCTTCTTCTTCTCCTTCTGGAACGGCACTGGAGTGAAGATTTCAAACAACTGCATCTGAGGGCTGTCAATAGTTCCCCACCGCTGACTCAATTTGTCCATTGTTATTTAGCATGCGGCTGGTATTTTACCCAGCCTTTTCGCTTTTGGTTTACATTTCTCCCATTCTTTGGCTCTCTCTCTCCTCCTTGCATTCCCATCCGTGGCCTAATTGGTCGTCTTTCCCACAGGGAGAGAGTCAGGCAGAGAGACATAAGCCATGCTGAACAAATTGCTTGCGGTGGTGGTAGTGGTGGTGGTCTGATGAAATGTAAGGCTGATGCCGGCTCCTTTGCCAGCACATGTGGGGGCATGGCTGTGAGGGGCCCAGATGTTTCGGTACCTCTGGTCCTAATGTGCCACTCTTGTCTTCTCTCTTGTATTTCTTTTAGCAAATCGCTCGACTGTCTTCCTCGACATGGAGTTAATTCTCTGGACGAAAAAGGTGTTCACGTATGTGGGTCCGCAGGCCACGCGTGTTCGGAGTTATCATTGGTCTAGACGGCACCTCTCCTCCTGATAACTTACACATGTGAGCATAATATAAATGTCAAAGCAGAAACACACGCTCAAACGCTTGTGATGACTCTTTAAAAGCCTCCAGCTTAAAGCAAATACACACACACATTGGCGGCAATTATCTTTGTTTGGGTGTAAACGATACCTAAGCAACACCCAGCCCATATTAGATTCAGACATCAGAATTTCATTCAGCCCGCTCCCAACATCTGTCAGCGACTCCATTTGACGCACCATAGCAACAGCGGCAATAAAGGCCGAGCTGTGGAACACATGCATACGTTACTGCGGCGCGGGACTCTCACACTCTCTAACATCACATAACAGTCAGTCACGAAGCCACATCAGACACCCACGCTGACCCTCGCCCTCCTCTTCTCTCTTTTGGACCGTCCCCGTCTGCCTCAGTAACTAAACAAGCTGCTCCTGACCCTCAGAGGGCCTCTAGAGGCTAATGACAATCATGGCGTTTGCTTCCCAAATAGATTAGGGCTGTGCTGTGACAGTGATGCTGAGGGGAATAGTTGGTGTCTGCTGACAGACTGACCACCCAGGAGGAGTTTTTTTGGAGGCTCTATTCTGGGTTCCTCCCATCTTACCAATTTTCAGACACATCAGTAAGACAAATCACGGAGAAAAACAATAATTGGTACGAGCCGGGCAGAGGCAACCCCCTGAACCTTCCCTCATGCCCCCCTGCCAAAAGTTCAAAGACCTTTTTGGACCACAAAAGGCGAGGATGACCTCCAGAGGCAGGGGACGAATTTTATGTTAACAAGATTAATGTGACGCTCGTCATTTTTCTCACAGCACAGCTGAAGCGGACGGAAACTTTTTTTTTTTTTTTTTAGCTTTCAGTACATCTAAACGTGTATTTTCATTTTAAAAATCTTAGTAGACACTGATTGAATATCATTTGACTTGGGATACAGCATATATAGATTGATGCAGATCTGTAAATTACCCTGCATGTGTTCTCCTTCAAGAAACCAGTAACTTCACATATTCTGTGGTTTCATGATGGTGCCGCATAGTTCTGCATTACTTCTACAGAATGCCACTCTGTTGGCCGTCCACATACATTAATACCTTATTTCTATTTCCAGCTAATCAAATCTTGCCTGAAGCAGTAGCATTAGCATTCTCTCATCGGCACAGCAGAGGCTACAACATAAAGCAAGCGCCGAGGACTCTGAACAACAACCGACATTAGAGAGACTTCCTCACACAAGTCCGGTTGCTACGATTAATCTACGGGAATAACCATGACCTGGATGACTGAGAATCCGCACAGACAACCTACATTAGCTTTCCTTCCAAGCCTCCTTCTATCTATCTTACAAACATGAGCAGACTTCTTATGCAGCACTTTAGCTTGTTAAATAAGCCATCGAACTCCACATCTGCAGGGGCAAAGTTAACCCTTTCAACACCATAGCCCGCTATACCGGTCTGCGGCTTTCACCCCATCTATAGCGGGCGCCGGTATATGGCGACTTTCTGCTACATTCATTTTGATTGACTGTCAGTGGGAATCCCCGTATGTGAACAAACGATTCAGTTATGAAATAAATTATGCAAATAGTAATAACTGCATACAGGGTTCTCGCCAGCGTCATAACACAGTAACGGCCCGTTAAGCTGCTGCCTGAAAAGCTGCAAATTGGGCCGATATGTTGTTTTTGAGGGTACGTAACTGGAAAAGATTTAACAGGCGCTGATGGAGTTTCACTACCGGTGCCTTCGCTGCTAACGTTGTTATTCGCTAGGATATTCGCCGCTAACCGTTAGCAGCAGCAAAGACCCACCCCGCTGTACAGGAATCCTGGCGAGGACTCTGGCATATGGCATATATCCCTAGTAAGTCAAGCCAAAGTTACTTGGTGTTGAAAGGGTTAACATCCAGTTGCAAGCTAAGCTCAAAAGCTAACTAGCTGGTGAGCTGCAGCACATTTATCTGCATGTAAATGTTGCTACAAATGTCACTTGTTGGACACTTTTACAGCATCCGTTCCTGACACGTAGTCTACGGTTTAAGTTTTATTTTCTCTTGGTCCTTACGATGCAACACCATCATTGTGGCAGCCGGCCAGCTGCTGTCAAACAAGCACAGACACAAACATGGCCGTCTATCCGGCTGAGGCGAAAAAGACCATTTCTAATATTTCCCTGACACTCTTTTAATGATACGAAACCATTAATGACATTGGCATTATTTTAACTTGCAGAAATGATGACTAAATATGATTTCAAATGGTCTTCATTTATTGCTAAAACTGTTTAGCTGCAAGTTTCAGCTAATCTACAGCTGTGCAAATTGTGATACTGTACTTATGCACAGCTAAATGGTAGCATCAGCAAGCTAACACGGCTACATTTTCAAGTCTGTTAAGAAGATATGTTTTTTTTTTTTAGTTTATTGTGTTAGCATGCTAACATGAGCTAACGAACACAAGCGAAGGCCGATCGAAATTTTAGTCTGTCACATATCTAACCATAAACCAAAGAATTGGAAAAGTATCGCTGACAGTCACTAAACTCACATTTCATTGTGTGAAGGGCATAAATGCTTGGACCACATTTGGTAGCAATCATTCGCTGAGCCTCATTGTGGTTGTAGGAGAGCCAGGGGATTCCCAGACGCAGTAATACGGCAACAATAGACGAACAATGAACTCTAGCGAGTACTGTGGTATCCTTCTATTAGACTTGAAGACATTTCCCAGCGTAGGTAAAACTGCTGAGCTACTGTGATGCAAGAAGGAAAGTCGGGGCATCTTCTCTGGTTGCAAAATCACTGCAAGTCCTCATCCATTAGGATTCATTCTTTGGTGACCAAGAATATCAAATTTCATGGCAACCCATCTCCTGAGTCATGCTCGCGTTTGATGATATTTATAGTTTTTTTTATGACATTCTTGTTGAGTCATGCAATTTACCTTTCTGGTCTGTCAATAAATTATCTCGTACAGTTAATATAAATGAGATTAGATGAAACAAGATGCGCCACGGTGTAATTTTGTGGTCTGAGCACATTAAAAGGAGTAAATTGTTCTCCCTCGAGCCCTGACAAAAATGAGATATGAAAATAGTTTTCAAATATTTAAAGATATCTTGAGGCGAATTTACTTTAACTTGCCACTCACTGGGAGAAATCTCAGATGTGGAAACATCATTAAGGGCGTAGAACTTTTAAGCAAGCCTTTCATCAGCTGCGTGAAACATGTTCAGCTGCCATTTCTGGTTTCCAGCAGTAGACCGTGTAAGGGTAATAAGACGAACAAGAGCTGAAACTAAATATCTCACTGATCAGACAAAGCAGAGTTTAAAAGCTAGATTTGTGCAGAATTACTGTTTCGCTGGCAACCCCTGACGTACAATTACAGACTCACAATGCTCTTCCTCCCCAAGACTGTCAAACTACTTGAAATGCGAGCAGGATTCACAGGGTTCCAGAAGTGACCCTCTACAAACCGAGGATTAGCTCTGTTGAGAACGGTGCTCAAGCGCTGATGCTGTCTGACGATGATGATGCTTTAACTCGCTCTACACTCCAAGAGATCCTTTGGTTCCGTAAACTAATCTGCCACACTAATCCTACCAAAGTCAAAGCCACTTCAGTTTCTCTTTAACGTCGAGTAAAACAAAGTGGTAGAAACAGTGAATCAGGCACCTCCGTTTTCTTTTTAACCACTGATCTACTGCTGCCTTTTGAGCCAGACTGTAGATGCTGGATGGATAATGTTGGACATTAGTTCTTTGCATTATCTGCATTCTGTTTAAATAAGCCAGTCTCTGTGTTCAAAGACCCTTGTCGCTGAAGATGCCTCTGGCTGCATGTTTAGGGTTGTTTTGACATCCTGCAGAATAAACTCGGGATGCCTCCCTGCAAGCAATGCACGAAGGAAGAGAATCTAAACACCTGAAATTTCAAACTATACTGCAAGAAATATGTCAAATTGAGAGCTGCTTTAATGCAGTTAACTCAAGTCCAAATCTAGATTTCGATGATAGGTGTCTCCACAAGCCTCAGCTGTACAAGAATCCAGTATGTTTCAACACAACGGACATTTCGCAACGCTACAGGCAACAGTCATGCACGGAATGCCACGGGAACCGTGATTTAGCAATATGTGGGCCCTTCCCTTTTGGTTAGATGACCCTTACGATAGCGAAGCTCACTCTTCTCCAGCATTCAAAAGTTTCCGAAAGCTTCACGATGCGTGGTGCGCACACACAAAAGCGCAAATGTCTTGTAATGATTAATACTGACCTACAGTGAAGAACATTTTTCAAATTTCTGGAAATGTTTCCAGCTTTTAACGCAACTTTGGTCTGTTCTTTACAATGCAGCGGCTACCAATAGTTATGTTAAGTATGCTCTTGGCTGTCAAAGCCAGACGTTCCAAAACTTTTACAAGGACTCGGCTGAGACATAACACCAAACACCGGCTTTGGATGAGAGGTGGTTTCAAAAATAAATAAAGTCTTAAAGCTAAGGAATTATAAACACGCTGCCATGGAGAAAGAGGGAAAGCCCTCCAAACAATTTGTGGCATGTTGTATTTTCAGTTCTTTCTCTGCTTGACACAAAGACGAGTGTCAAACAACTGAGGAGACGAACAGGGGGATGACAGAGAGGAATGGAAAAAAAAAAAGAGAGAGAGCATAGAGGTGAGAGTGAAAAAGACCATGGGGGGAATTTTCCATTCACCGAGAAGAAGACACAGACACACATGCCAGAACACCCAGACATGCACGAGAACATGCTTTGCAAACACGGTTGCAAAAATTTGCGCACTTGAAAAAATACACACCGTGCCAGCATACAGACATGCAGATGATCATGCATTGACACACACACACACACACACACACACACGGTCCATGAATATTCCTCAGTCTGGAAATGAGGGAGTTTGTTTAGTAAAAGAACTAGTTAAGCCAAAAGAAAGAAAAGAGTCCTGATTCTAACACAATATCAGCTCTGGGATCTTCAAACAAACTCACGCTCGGGCGCCATGGGGACACCACCAACAGAACCAAGCATTCTGGGGGCTGACCTCGCTATTGCCTGCGACGTTTCTGTCTGCGACCGCCTTTTAGCTGGGTCTCTGCGCGCAACAATGCAGTCTTTGCCATAGCAATGGAGTCTGGCATTTCAAAGGGCAAACCGAGTCTGGCTCACGCTGCCACATTCCATAGGTTGGCTTCAGCCAGCGAACACACCTCTTGTGGCAGCTGTTCTCCCCCCCCCACCTCTGAAAAACATGACCCGCTGAAAAAAAAAAAGGGGAAAGTCGTCTTGTAAACAGTAAAACAAAAGTTAAACAAATCAAAGCAGGGCCGTGCATTCACACAGCTTTTCAGGGAGGAACTCGACTTGGCAAAACGGGGAGTAGAAACAACAGAGGTGGATGATTTGCAACCCTAAGTAGACATTTGAGGATTCCTCAATGGGCTAATGTGCGAAAACCCCATTTGAGAGCCAGGGACACGATGTTAGCAGGCGTGACAGACAGAGTCAGTCCACCCACCATTCAGCAACAACATGCTCTGTAGCGGGAGGGCTTGTCCCCATCAGTGTCATTTTTTCAGCTCCATTAAGTGCCATTCTTTCTCGGGATGAGGGCAGCAATAGCACCAACACTGCTTGGTTCCTTTTGATAACCATAGGTTTTCTTTTCCCCGACAAGATTGCTTAAAAAAACAACTGTCAAAGATATACTGTCTGAGGAAAGTAGCACTCTTTTTGTCCAACTCTATGTCTCACAGCATCCAGTACTGCTCTAAAAACTGATTATGTATTTTATTATTCATATAAATAAATAGAGCACCGTTTTCTCGCAGCAAGAAGGTCGCCGGTTCACGTCCCGGTGGGGCCACCGGAATCTTTCTGTTTGCATGTTCTCCCCGTGCAGCGTGGGTTCTCCTCCCACACAGTCCAAAAACATGTTGAGGTTAATTGGTGATTCTAAATTGTCTGTAGGTGTGAATGTGAGTGTGCTTGGTTGTTTGTCTCTAAGTGTAGCCCTGTGATAGACTGGTGACCTGTCCAGGGTGTCCCCTGCCTTCAGCCTAAGTCAGCTGGGATAGACTCCAGCCCCCATGACCCTAGTGAGGATTAAGTGGTGTATAGATAATGGATGGATGGATATAAATAAATAGATTTATTATAGTCGTCTGTGGTACCTGATGCAAGCTGCTCCTTAGTGTCTTGCAAGTAAAGAAAAATGAGGAAGGCTCACCACAAGAGGCTGACTTCGTCTCCACCAGTTTCACCCTTCGCGTCTCGTTTCGAATCCTGCCGTCCGTCTTGTCCACGAGGTGTGCGAGGTCGTCGATGATTTCTGAGAGACAAAGAAAGAGGAGAGAGGAGTTCATTTCTGCTTTGCATGAAGCTGGCATAATGTTCTTTCTTTCATGTTATTACAAAAAAAGACCACCCTGCCATGTTCTTTACTCTAAATACTAAATCGACCGGTTCTGCAGGATATGACACCAGACAAGTCAACAAATTCAAAAAGTAGAGGCTGCCAACGCACAGACATGAGTTGTGGTGCGGGGAGTGGGTTATATGAAAGCACTACTCGCCCTTTCAAATGGTTTCACTACTTCCTGAATCCATTCTGGATTTAATCAGGCCCTTATTGTTCATGAGTTTTAAAGACGTAAGCTCAAGCTTCAGGGACCGTGCCTGGGCGTCCAAAGAAAGCGAGCGTGTGCTTTGTGTATATGTGTGTGTGTGTGTGTGTGTGTGTTTGGCGCTGTGGCTGGGGCCTTTCAGTAGGAGTTCCTGACTTGAAGGTCGTCCAGATGGAAGCCTGTGTGATTTGTTAGCGCGAGCCACTGTGTTGACATGGCATCTCCAGGGGTCTGTCCCAACAACAAAAACAGACAACTGCTGAAAATCCTCCAAAATGTTGATTTGTTAAAAGTTGAGTATTAAATTGTGGTATTATTTAGAGATAATATCAACTCATGATTAAGCTCTAAGTCGGCTGACACCGACACAGGCTTAATGTGTGCTGTCTATTAAGATGGATGTAACACATCTTTTCCTGTCAGGGCAAACTACCAGCTTCTCTCATGACTCCAACTGCGCCGATGACACAGAACGATGAATAAATAGATGCGGAAATATATGAGCAATAACATTCGAAACAACATGGCTCATTACTCCTGTTATAAATCAGGAGATTTATTACGAGACGCGACTGAAATTGACCATTTCTTCTTAAACATGTGTGACTGGAGATTTGGATTTGTGGCCTGTTTTATATTTCTGTTCCAACAGTGCTGACAGGTCCTGTCCAGTAGCCTTCTAAATAGAAAAAGACAAAACAAAACAAAAAAACAAGTGGCTGGATATTAAAGAAGGCGGTGAAACAGAAACCAAGGCCAAGCTGAAGAAATGGAAACTCACAGCCTCGTATCAGGGTCTGATAAACGAAAGTTTTACAGGAACTGGAAACGAGACTCGACTAACAAACCTGAGCCGAGCGCCAAGCTAAACAGACCGTCCCGTCCAGGGAGGGAACAACATTTTATTGCTGTTATATGGTAAAATAGTATTCAGTCGGTATGATCTAAGCCTTTTGTTGGGCTCCAGAAACTGGGCCGCATGACCGAATTCCCACGAGCAGAGCGCTCAGGGTCGTCCGCAGCGATCGCAACTACGACTCGTCACCGCTCGACAGGACAGTTTGTGTTTCTGCCTGACATCGGGCAATTAAGCAAAAAATAATCCGAGGAGGGAAAGTAAAGCATGTCAGCTCGGAGCGGCCGGAATGTGAAGGGGCAAGGACAAAGGAGGCGGGAGACGTGAGATCGCCGTATGCACAGCGTCCTCGGAGACTTCCACATCATCATCTGAGCATCAGGCAACAATTTAGTAAAGGAAGAAACTTTTCCTTTACTGGCAGGGAAGGGGTGTAGACAGTGAACCATTTGTGCCGCGTGCCACTCCAACTACTCATGAAGGATGTTTTCAGTCAGCTGGTGCCAAGTGCCTTGATTCAAGCTCTGGCCCAGCAATAACATCTCAATTCATTGATGAATTCCCAGCCATACCGAAACGCAATGAGGCTAAGACGTGGCTTTTGTAACTACAGCTGCAATGAAACGCTCAATTTATTTTTCAGAATGGTTGCACTACAGGTACTGGGTTGTTTTTTTTTTCCCTTTATATGCTTGCGTAGCCCTTCAGTTCACCCCATTATCAAGTCATGTCTCTAACAATATAATTCTCAATTTCCTGTTGTTACATTTGCTCCCATGTATGACAGCTGCTGGCCCTGGCTTGGATCTGCAACATGACAAAGAAGGCCCTGTTTCAGGCAAACCTTGTTTATTTAAAATGCCATTACACTGGATAAACCCCTAAAACCACAGCGTGCAGGAGCATGGCATGTGTGCACACCATTTTTTTTCTTTTTTTTTTCCTGTTTGCCAGTTTGTTTTTTTAAGATGCATTGCTTTATGTGCATTTCTTCTCTGTTGCAAGCTTGAAATGTTATTTTACAAGCTCTGCATCCTCGATAATTTGGAAGTTAACTTGACCTTCTTATTATTCTTTGTTATTTTTAAAATCATTGCTGCGATTATTTTTATGAGTTCATGACATAGAATTATCTGAACGACTCTGCAGCTTATTAAAAACATCCATCTGAGAGACAAAGCATATTTAAATATGCATGAAGTAGTAAAATGACATTTTAAAATTTGATAAACACTGAAAATAAACAAGTCCAAATGACAAGATGACAAGATTATGTCATGAACAAACCCCTTAAGTGTTTCAGAACAATCAATCACAAACAAACAACAGCTTCAGTGTTTACTGGCTCAATACATTCTCTTTGTTACAACTGTACTGAGATTGAAGATGTGTTCAGAATGTAAATTGAAAAAAAAAAAAATAAATCTAATAAAATTAAAGTCTCCTCATGGCTCTGTCTGTCTCCATTGCTCTGTGAATATATATCACCGCAGAGAATATACAGTACATCCTAATAAGCTGATTTCTTTTGCCGTGGAAGGAGTCGAGCTCGCCCTTTCCTAATTATATCTGCTGCATGTGCAATACAAGGCCATTAGCAAGCTCTCTCTGGGACCAGGGACTTGTTACCAGAGACTTTGTTGTGCTATTTTCACAGCAAACCAAAACAACCGAGCATTAGCGAGTGGCTTTGTGAAATGTCATTGTCAGAAACAGTATATACAGAATATAAATACAGTGACTGGCAACCAAGTTTATAGCTTCATGTAGGTTCCAGAAGATGCTGTCTTCCTTTGGAAATCTTCAGAATTTTAATTGAAGGTATAATCAGGCACTCAAATCTGAAAATGGACGACAAAACCTCTTCGTTAAAGTCATATAACACCTCAGCGTTTACTCTAGCTGGTGTGTAATGCTGAATACATTTCTAAAAAACACTGTAAAGCTTCTGAAGTTTGCATGAAAGCAAGAATTTACAGCTACAGATGCAACATATTGCACAAAAAAAGCACAATTTGATCTTTGTGTAACATTTTCTAAAGCGCTGCAGAAGCCACCAAGCTACCTGTGGTCAATCCTAAACACCTGGACACAAAGAGGCAGCAAGGCCAGGTCTCTCTATTCTGATTCTCTGCTACCAACAGTACCTCTAATTGACACAGAAAACAATGCACATAAAACCTGGCCCGTCGGAGTGAAGGCATGAGAGCCCTGCAGCGCGCACACACACACCAATAGGAGACAGATGTTGCACTCGTATGACGTCGCCTATTCCCCGATGCCGCCGACTCTCTGCGTAATCTCAACGCCATTTCATCTCTGTTCCAGTGTTGTGCAGCTTTTACATAAACAGCCTCTCCCTGTGGCCACCCCGCTCTCTGGGGGCTAACTAGTTAACAGGTCTGTTTCCATCTTTGCTGTCAGCATCATCTGGAACCAAGGACAGACACCTACTATCCTCTGGATTGGCTGCTGCTGCTGGTCTGGTCTGGACTGAAGGATTATTACGTGGCCGAGGCACGAACTGGAGGAAAACACTTAACGGCCGCTGAATGGGTTTTTGAGTTAAGTCACTTATGATTTAAGTGTAAAGTGTACCATTCGTTGAGGGTGTATGCAGGCAGATGCTGCACTCCCACAATATTTCTGTGTGTTTATAGTATACCCACCCATTCAACTCATAGCTGGGCTGAAGGTGTCATGTGGAGAATAAACCATCTGGCTGCTCCACTTGCAATGCACTGTACTGCAAAATATGTCTCTGAAGTAGCTCGACATAATTCTTGTCTAGTTTTGGCACTTACTCCGGCTCTGAATTTATACTTCTGTAAGCCTATAGAGAGTCCTCAGCGCTTCTTTTGCAAGGAGGCATCAGGGGCCATGTCTACCTGAACCACCTCAGCCAGCTCCTTTGAATACAAAGGACCAGTAATTTCACTGAGTTCCTTGCGAAGGAAATTCATCTTGGCCACTTTGTATTTATGTTCTCATTCTCTCTGGTCATCACCCAAAGGTCATGACCACATGTGAGGGCTACAACATGGATCAATCAGTAAAATTACAGCATCAGCTTCAGGCTCAGCTCCCTCTTTGCTATTACTACCTGGCACAGCGTCTGTTGTTGCTCTCGCGGTGCCAGTACACCTGTTCATGTCGTGCTTCATCTCACTCTACTTGTGAACAAGATCGCAAGTATTTTGTTGAACTCCTTCAAGTGAGGCAGTGACTCACTTCCAGCAATAAGATCGCCTTGTTCCAGCAGAGGACCAGGGCCAGATTTGGAGGTGCTGACCCACACTCTCTGCCTGTTTCACATTCAGCTGCTCCACAGTGTGCACTAATGATCAGGGTCTGAACGAGGCGAGAGAAACGCATCCGTCAAAAGCAGAGATGCAATGGTGAGACGACAAAACACTCTCCACGCATTAGCTTCGCGTAGAGATTCTTGAAAGCCACAAACAGAAATGGTGACAAGGTGCTCCTTAAGCAGAACCTTATGCAGACTATAGCAGGTGGAACATTTGTAAAACAATGGCACAAGTAAGGAGAAAGTTGGCTAAATGATCGGTGGCTTATACCTACTTCATGAGTCAGACTAGGAACCCCCAAAAGGTACCCAGGAAACTTGCTCATTTATCTACTCCCGGTCTACAAAACGCATCCAGACCAGATGCCATACTGATTCTACCAGGACCCCAAACCATATAGCACAGCAGTAAATCATCACAATATAATATAAAGTCTGGTTCAAGTCAGACAGCAAAGACGAGGCTCACACGCAGCCGAATGGCGAAAAGTGTGGGAGTCAGTCTCTATTTTAATCATTAAATTCCCACTTCCCTGATCTGC